GATGATGGCATTTTTCGATGTGTGCTGTTGGCCTGTATGAATGTCTTCTTTTGAGAAGTGTCTGTTCATATCCTTTGCCTACTTTTGATAGGGTTGTTGTTTTCTTTTGTAAATTTGTTTGAGTTCTTTGTAGGTTCTGGATATTAGCCCTCTGCAGATGAGTGGATTGGCAAAAATTTTCTCTCCATTCTGTAGGTTGCTGTTCACTCTGATGGTAGTTTCTTTTGCTGTGCAGAAGCTCTTTAGTTTAATTAGATCCCATTTGTCAATTTTGGCTTTTGTTGCCGTTGCTTTTGTGTGTTTTAGACATGAAGTCCTTCCCATGCCTATGTCCTGAATGGTATTACCTAGGTTTCTTTCTAGGAATTTTTATGGGTTTTAGGTCTTAACATTTAAGTCTCTAATCCATCTCGAGTTAATTTTCGTATAAGGAGTAAGGAAAGGATCCAGTTTCAGCTTTCTACTTATGGCTAGCCAATTTTCCCCACACCATTTGTTAACTAGGGAATCCTTTCCCCATTTCTTGTTTCTCTCAGGTTTGTCAAAGATCAGATGGTGTAGATGTGTGGTATTATTTCTGAGACTCTGTTCTGTTCCATTGGTCTATATCTTCTGTTTTTGGTACCAGTACCATGCTGTTTGGTTACTGTAGCCTTTGTATATAGTAGATAGTTTGAAGTCAGGTAACGTGACGCTCCAGCTTGTTTTTTGGCTTAGGATTGTCTTGGCCAATGCGGGGGTCTTTTGGGTTCCATGTGAACGTTTAAAGCAGTTTTTTCCCAATTCTGTGAAGAAAGTCATGGTAGCTTAATGGGGATGGCATTGAATCTATAAATTACCTTGGGCAGTATGGCCATTTTCAACAATATTGATTCTTCCTATCCATGAGCAAAGGGTATGTTCTTCCATTTGTTTGTGTCCTCTTTTACTTCACTGAGCAGTGGTTTTGTAGTTCTCCTTGAAGAGGTCCTTTACATCTCTTGTAAGTTGATTCCTAGGTATATTTATTCTCTTTGAAGCTATTGTGAATGGGAGGTTCATTCATGGATTTGGCTCTCTGTTTGTCTGCTACTGGTGTATAGAATGCTTGCGATTTTTGCACATTGATTTTGTATCTGGCACTTTGTTGCAGTTGCTTATCAGCTTAAGATTTGGGGGCTGAGACATATGGGGTTTTTCTAAATACACCACTCATGTCATCTGGCAACAGGACGCAATTTGTTTCTCTTTTCCTGAACGTGAATACCCGGTGACTTTCTTCTCTTGCGTTAAAGTGTCCCATTATTATTGTATGGGAGTCTAAGTCTCTTTGTAAGTCTCTAAGGACTTGCTTTATGAATCTGGGTGCTCCTGTGTTGGGTGAATATATATTTAGGATAGTTAGCTCTTCCTGATGAATTGATCCCTTTACCATTATGTAATGGCCTTCTTTGTCTCTTCTCTGATGTCTCTTCTTTGATGGTTTAAAGTTTGTTTTATCAGAGACTAGGATTGCAACCCTTGCTTTTTTTTTTGTTTTCCATTTGCTTGGTAGATCTTTTTCTTTGTTTATCTAAAGAATCACACATCTAAGTGCTGAAGAGGACTTCAGGGGTCGCCTGGTCTAATCTCCACCCCACCAATGAGAAAACTAGTCCAGAGGAGTCCAGGGCTTGCCTGCGTCTGAGATGACCCTGGAGCCGACTGTTGGCACTGGGGCTAAATGGTCAGCACCTTTGGGTCACTGTTCACCTTTGAGAACCCACTTCCTAACAGGATCTGCGGGGTGGTGAGAGCTCGATAAGCACCCATTCCAAGATGTCTACTGAAGGCTGAGTGCCAAGTGGATGGAGTAGAAGAAGAATAGGCTCCCTATTCACACCTGAGAATGCTGGGAGGTTAAAGAACCCCGACACCCCCAGACCAGTGCCCCCAGAAATCAGGGCTCACCTTGGCCTTCCGCAGCACATGTCCTCGGCAGGGGGAGCTGCCCGGGGCCACCTGGCTCTTCTTCAGGACAGCCGCGCTGTTCACCGGCACAGGGCCCTCGGTGTCACTGGTGTCACAGCTGGAGATAGGCGAGTTCTCCAGGGTCCGGTGCCTGAACACTGGAGACTTAACAGAGAGAGAACCCCATGTGAGGAGTGGTTTCTAGGCCACTGGTATTATCCAGCAGGAAAATGATTTATTTCAAGGAAGAAGTAAGTTTTGGAAATGGGCAAAAATCGCAGCAGCAGGAAGGACTGCCAGGCAGTCAGTGCCTCACCCCCAGAGCCCCTCCCAATGTTCACAGCCAGGGGGCAGAGGCTCTGAGGGGCTGGTGGAGACTCCAAGGGGGGCTCCGACTCCCAGCCATGCCTGGGAAGCGGTGAGGGTGGGATTCCTGCCTGAATCTTTTGCACTCAAAGTAAGGCTCTTCCACGCAGGCTAGTCAGTCCCTTTGTGCAGGGCTTTATGGTTTTCAGAGCTTTTCTGGGGTGAGTGTCCTAGAGATGTTGAAGTCGCAGAAAGCGCCGGCACTCGGGGCAGAACTGGCTCCCGGGATGCAGCCCCATGGAGTGGGGCTCGCAGGAGAAAAGCAGGCTCCATAAGCACAGAGGCCTTCCGAGTGTTTACGGCAGCTTCCATATGCCAAAGGAGGAGGTGTTCAGGAAGACTCAAAATAGAACAACATGTGTCCTGAGCTGCCAAGGCCCCCATCGCTGGCTCTTCCATATGGGATCCCAAACTGCTCTCTGGGAAAAAAATGCCACAGTCTGCTGAGCCTTCTCTCAAATGAAGTCTCCAAGGAAGAGACGCTTCCTAGGATTCCTGCCAAAATGTGTTATGTAAAAAATATTGCTCAGGGTATATGGCACGCTGTTTTAGAACAATGTTTCAATGACCGTGAAAATGGGCAGCTCAGGGTCCCCTGTGGGCTTTACTGACCACAACCCTCAGGCAGCCAACTTGACTTACGCGGTGGCAGTCCCTGGCTGCCAGGGAGGAAGCCTGGGTAGTGGTGAGTGAACACAATGGAATGATGATGAGGACATCTCTGTCGGGCAGAGGCCAGGCCAGGCTGTGAGTAAAAGGGGCAGGTGACCCGAAGACCTGCATCTCGAGAGGGGTCCACCGAACAAGCCACTCTCCCGAGGGCATGGTCTGAGCAGCAGCGGTGCAGAGTGCTTCCCCAGGGGCTGGGACAGAGGACGGCACCAACGACATCTGCCCTCAAAAGAGAGGGGAAGTCGCAAAGCACGGTGGACTGGGACGGGGGAAGCGGAGGTGGCAAGCCAGGCCCAGGCCCCCACAGGATACTTGGGCCAAAGGAAAAGTGAGGGGGGTGGCGAGGCAGGAGCAGGAAAAGGGGCCCGAGGGAAGCTCGGGTGATGGGGTGGAAGAACGTGGAGCCACCACAGAAGACAGTGGGCAGCTGTGCCGAAGGGCACCGGAATCGGGGAGTGAGGACTAACATGTCTGCTGGAGGGGAATGCCGGGGGTCACCATGACGAAAACAGGTGCAATGAGAAGCCACACTCGGAAAGTGGAGGTGTCGGGGGGCAGAGGACACTGCAAGCATGGACAACTGCTTCCAAAGCTCACCTTGGAAGGAAAGGCAAGAACACAGGGCAAGGGGACAGTCGCCAGGGGGAGCAGGAGGCCAGGCGGAACCTTCTTTTTTTAAGGATGGATTCAACTAGAGAATCCTTAAATGCTTGGAAGAAGCTGACAGAAAAGCTGAAGATACAGGAGAAGGCTCCTCCCAGGTGTCTGGAAGTCAGGAAGGGTCGGATCGAGGCACTGACCAGAGTCCAGGAAGCCCAGCCCCTCCACTCAAACAGGACCAGAGGACAGGGGTGGGACAGCTCCTCAGAGCATCCTGCACTGCCACCACCCTCCACGCAGGACACAGGACAAGCAGCACAGGGGACTGTGTGTACTCCTGCCTCAGATCACCACAGACGGAGGGGCACAGGGCTCCATGAAGCAGGCGAAGACCCCTGCCCTCTCCCAGCCAATGCCCACAGCCTCACTGCCACCCTCACTGCACCTGACCCCACTATGCTCTTGTCCCCATTTCTGCTGGATGAGGGGCTAGGGACACCCAAGGCACCTCCTGGTCCTTGGATTCCAATTCCCCCTGCACCCCTCCTCCTCAGCCCTGCTTCACTGTTGCCACAGATCTGTCCGCATCTGACACCAATGTATTTTATTGGTTTGCCTCCCTCACGAGAACATAAGCTCCATGAAACGGGGATTCTCACCTATCTTGTTCACAACTGCAGGCCTGGAGTAGTTTGTAGCACACAGAGGGAGAACAGAACATGGGCTGGGCACGGTGGCCCCCGCCGGTAACCACAGCGACTCAAGAGGTGAGGTGGGAGGAGCACTTGAGCCCAGGAGTTCAAGAAGGATCACAGCATATGCATATGTGTGTACACACACCTTTATACATTAAATAGTGTGTATCACAGCATATGCATATGTGTGTACACACACCTTTATACATTAAATAGTGTGTATCACAGCATATGCATATGTGTGTACACACACACCTTTATACATTAAATAGTATGTATCACTTTATACATTAAATAGTATGTATCACAGCATATGCATATGTGTGTACACACACCATGCATATGTGTGTACACACACCTTTATACATTAAATAGTATGTATCACAGCATATGCATATGTGTGTACACACACCTTTATACATTAAATAGTATGTATCACAGCATATGCATATGTGTGTACACACACACCTTTATACATTAAATAGTGTGTATCACAGCATATGCATATGTGTACACACACACCTTTATACATTAAATAGTATGTATCACAGCATATGCATATGTGTGTACACACACCTTTATACATTAAATAGTGTGTATCACAGCATATGCATATGTGTACACACACACCTTTATACATTAAATAGTGTGTATCACAGCATATGCATATGTGTGTACACACACACCTTTAGATATTAAATAGTATGTATCACAGCATATGCATATGTGTGTACACACACACATCACAGCATATGCATATGTGTGTACACACACCTTTATACATTAAATAGTGTGTATCACAGCATATGCATATGTGTACACACACCTTTATACATTAAATAGTGTGTATCACAGCATATGCATATGTGTGTACACACACCTTTATACATTAGTGTGTATCACAGCATATGCATATGTGTGTACACACACCTTTATACATTAGTGTGTATCACAGCATATGCATATGTGTGTGTACACACACCTTTATACATTAAATAGTGTGTATCACAGCATATGCATATGTAATAGTATGTATCACAGCATATGCATATGTGTGTACACACACCTTTATACATTAGTATGTATCACAGCATATGCATATGTGTGTACACACACCTTTATACATTAAATAGTGTGTATCACAGCATATGCGTATGTGTGTACAGCATATGCGTATGTGTGTACACACACCTTTATACATTAAATAGTATGTATCACAGCATATGCGTATGTGTGCACACACACCTTTAGATATTAAATAGTATGTATCACAGCATATGCATATGTGTGTACACACACCTTTATACATTAAATAGTGTGTATCACAGCATATGCATATGTGTGTACACACACACCTTTATACATTAAATAGTGTGTATCACAGCATATGCATATGTGTGTATCACAGCATATGCATATGTGTGGTATGTATCACAGCATATGCATATGTGTGTACACACACCTTTATACATTAAATAGTGTGTATCACAGCATATGCATATGTGTGTATCACAGCATATGCATATGTGTGTACACACACACCTTTATACATTAAATAGTGTGTATCACAGCATATGCATATGTGTGTACACACACACCTTTATACATTAAATAGTGTGTATCACAGCATATGCATATGTGTGTACACACACCTTTATACATTAAATAGTGTGTATCACAGCATATGCATATGTGTGTACACACACACCTTTAGATATTAAATAGTATGTATCACAGCATATGCATATGTGTGTACACACACCTTTAGATATTAAATAGTATGTATGTCCCATAAATAATTGTATGTCATATATAATATATAAATAATTGTTGAATTTATATGATTTTATGTAACACAGAATGTATATAATGATATCAACAAGCAATTGTTGGATGAGTGGAATGAATGAGTGCAGGCATGTATACGTTTGGGAAGATGTGAACGAACACACGTGCTCCGGTGAGCACTGTGCCAAAGCCTCTGCACACAGAGTCCTGTGCAGCGGCCATTATTATTTTCTCCATTTTACAGATGAAAAACTCAGGGCCTAGAGAAGTCCAGTGATTTTAAGCCCTGGTCTGTGTGACCCCAGAGCCGCCTCTTGAACACCCGAAAGAACCGTGCACGAGTGGCTGGGTTTGTGGTTTGAGGACAGAGCAGTGACCTCGCTGCTTGCTCAGCTCTGCAGGCAGGAGGGAGGTTGTCCTCTGGGTTGGAGGTGATGGCTGGGGTGCCACAGGAGACTGGTGCGGGGATGGGGGGCTCGGAAGAGAAGGGGAGAGTAAGGAAGAGCAGGCCGTACGGGGGGTGCCCGGCAAGGGCCAGCAGGTGACTGAAACTCAGGGCTGTTGTCAACCCATAAACGTGTCAGTCTTCCCCAAGGCTCACGTGGAGCAGCGGTGGGTTCAACCAGGCTCAGCGTTTTACCAAGGGGTTGGGAAAGAAGGACCTAGAAGGGAAGCATTTAGGATGCAGTGGGTGGAGACCCAGGGGCGCCCGCGGTGTTTCGGCTGGGACAGGGGCTGAAGTTCGGCCATCCCTCACCGGCTGCCTGTTCTGTCTGCCCTGCAGGTATGTTTACTCCTCTGGGTCCAGTGCCTCCCTCACTCAGTGGAAGTGACGGCATCCAACTCACAAGACAGGAGACTCAACAGAATGACCAAGTGGAGAAGACATCTAAGTTCTCAGCGACCTCGTCGAATCAGTGAAGAGGAACCAGGGACGGGGAAGACTCACGAGGGAAGAGGAGACCGCTTTGTTCTGTTCGATTCTAAGAGGACACAGACCGCGCCATTCACTTCAGTTTCCCTAGCACCTGGCTTAACTCTCAGACATGCTCGACGGTCTGTAAGGACTGGCTACCTAATGAACCGGTGTCAAATTAGGACCTGGTTCAGAAGAGACATGAGGACTGGATCTGTTCTAAACAGATGGTGCAAAGGGGAAAGGCACAGACTCCGTGTTTCCATGCCTTGTAACATTTCAGAGAGAGGTAAGAAAGCAAGTCGGGAACACACGCCTGGCTGATGAAAGTGTCTGATGCTAACACATGAACTGTCTTCTGCTGGGCAGGCTAAGGGGCCACAAGCAAGCTACGCCCCAGAGCCACTCCACATTCTCTCTGGGTGCACCGGCTCTTGGTCATGCGAGGCCGCGCCAGCCTCCAAGGTGAGCCAGAAGGACACATACCTGTGGATTCGATGTTCCTGACTTGGGCTCAATGGCCAGCCCCAGGGTGACTCCGCCCGCCAGTGCTTTCTTCAGGCTCTCCTTGACCTCCGTCAGCTCCAGCTCCAGGCTGACGCGCTCCGCCTCCTTCTGCCGGCACTCCTCCTCCAGCTGCTTCAGCTTCTCCTCCAGAATCGCCTGTGGCTTCCTGCCTGGAATTCCCAGAAACGCCCTTACTCCCGCGGCTTACTCCCGCGGCCGGCACAGGCTCTCCAAACAACAGAGAAGGCACCTGCTCCCCGAAAAGAACTTCCACAAAGTGTCTGAGGTTGAGCTCCCCTGACTTAGGTCCTCGTCGCAAAACTTAAATTCAGCAGTTCTCTAAGGGAGCAGAGTCCTTCTCCAGCCACTTCCCTTTGCTGCAGCTGTGAGGACTCGGACCAGGCAACAGGAGACGCTGATTCTCACCAAGGCTGGGAGCTCCTGGCTCTGGGACTCAATGTACTCATTTTGAAACGTGGACCCTAAACTCCACAGTTCCTGAAGCTGCCACTGCATTGGGGTGTGAACCCCGTCCTTCCCTAACGCTCCACCGATCCCTCAGTCATCTTATTTGCCCCCGAGGCAATGAACAGTAGCACAGCTGGCATCTCTACTGGACATGGCACACGTTTCTTTAAGGAACGTTCACTTATTTTATTTGAGGTTTGCTGCAGTGACCTAAGACGCACCCACTGGACAGATGACAACATCAATCCTAAGAGGTGAACAGACTTGTGCCCAGGGCCTGGGCCGGTGCTGGCCAGCAGGCGAGGTTCTCTTTTTCAAAGCCAAAAGCACCCCTGGCCTTCCTGCATCTTCACTATCCTGCAGGCTTGGAACACTAACCCACTCTTACTAAACCACTCTCACCCGCTAACCCACTCTCACCCACTCTTACTCTCACCAAATAACCCACGCTCATCCACTAACCCACTCTTACTAACCCACTCTCACTAACCCACTCTCACCCACTAACTCACTCTTACTAACCCACTCTCACCTACTAACCCACCCTCACCCACTAACCCACTCTCACCCACTAACCCACGCTTACCCACTCTCACCCGGTAACCCACTCACACAAACCCACTCTTACTAACCCACTCTTACCAACTAACCCACTCTCACCCACTAACCCACTCTCACCTACTCTTACTAACCCACTCTCACCCGCTAACCCACTCTTACTAACCCACTAACCCACTCTCACCCACTCTTACTAACCCACTCTCACCCGCTAACCCACTAACCCACTCTTACCCACTCTCACCCGCTAACCCACTCTCACCCACCAACCCACCCTTACTAACCCACTCTCACCAACTGACCCACTCTCACCAACTGACCCACTCACACCCACTAACCTACTCTCACCAACTCTCACCGCCTAACCCACTCATACCCACTAACCCACTTACTAACCCACTCTCACCCACTCAAACCAAGTAACCCACTCTTACCCACTCTCACCAAATAACCCACTCTCACCAACTAAAGCACTCACACCAACTAACCCACTCTTACTAACCCACTCTCACCAACTAACCCACTCTTACTAATTAACCCACTTTCACCAACTAACCCACTCTTACAAGCCCACTCTCATCCACTAACCCACTCTTACTCTCATCCACTAACCCACTCTCACCAACCCACTCTCACCCACTAACCCACTCTTACTCTCACCAAATAACTCACTAACACCAACTAACCCACTCTTACTAACCCACTTTCACCAACTAACCCACTCTTACCCACTAACCCACTCTCACCAACCCACTCTTACCAAATAACCCACTCTCACCAAATAACCCACTAACCCGTTCACATCAACTAACCCACTCTCACCAACTCACCCACTCACCCACTCACACCAACTAACCCACTCTTACTAACCCACTCTCACCAAATAACCCACTCTCATCCACTAACCCACTCACACCAACTCACCCACTCTCACTAACCCACTCTCACCCAGTCACACCAACTAACCCGCTCTTACTAACCCACTCTTACCAAATAACCCACTAACCCACTCTCACCCACTCACACCAAGTAACCCACTCTTACCAACTAACCCACTCACACCAAATAACCCACTAACCCACTCTCACCAACTAAAGCACTCACACCAACCCACTCTTACTAACCCACTCTCACCCACTCACACCAAGTAACCCACTCTTACTAACCCACTCTCACCCACTGACCCACTCTTACTAAGCCACTCTTACTAATTAACCCACTTTCACCAACTAACCTACTTTTACTAGCCCACTCTCACCAAATAACCCACTAACCCACTCTCACCCACTGACCCACTCACACCAACTAACCCACTCTTACTAAGCCACTCTTACTAATTAACCCACTTCAACTAACCCACTCTTACTAGCCCACTCTCACCAAATAAACCACTAACCCACTCTCACCCACTAACCCACTCCCACTCACCCACTCACACCAACTGACCCACTCTTACTCACTCTCACCAAATAATCCACTCTCACCCACTAACCCACTCACAACTAACCCACTCTTACTAATTAACCCACTTTTACCAACTAACCCACTCACACGCACTCTTACTAACCCACTCTTACCCCACTCTCACCCACTAACCCAACACCAACTAACCCACTCTTACTAACTCGCTGTCACCAAATAACCCATTCACACCAACTAACCCACTCTTACCCGGTAACCCACTCTCACCCACTAACCCACTCTTAGGTAACCCACTCTCACCCACTAACCCACTCTTACTAACCCACTCACCAACTAACCCACTCTTGCTAACCCACTCACCAACTAACCCACTCTCACAAATAACCCACTCTTACCAAATAATCCACACTCACCAACTAACCCACTCTTACCAAATAATCCACACTCACCAACTAACCCACTCTTACCAACTGACACTCACCAAATCACCCACTCTTACTAACTCTCACCCACTAACCCACTCTCACCAACTAACCCACTTACTAACCCACTCTCTCCAACTAACCCACTCTCACCCACCAGCCCACTCTCACCAAATAACCCACTCCAACTAACCCACGCTCACCCACTCACCAACTAACCCACTCTCACCCACTAACCCACTCTAACCTACTCTCACCAACTAACCCACTCTTACCAACTCACTCTCACCAAATCACCCACTCTTACTAACCCATTCTTACTAACTCACTCTCACCCACTAACCCACTCTCACCAACTAACCCATTCTCACCAACTAACCCACTTACTAACCCACTCTTACCAACTAACCCACTCTCACCAACCCACCCATTCTTACCAAATAACTCACTCTTACCAAATAAATAACCTACTCTTACTAAATAAAATGGCAGCCTTCGTTAGCAACTGGTCCTTTGGGCAAAGCAGAATGAAATCTCCAGTCTCCAATACAAACATGCACCCTGGGCAGTCACCCGCATCCCTCATACCTGCGTTCACTTCAATGGCCGCTCGAAGGTCTTTTCTTTCCTTGCGGAGCTGGGCCAGCCTATTCCGCAGGGCCTCTTTCCTCTTCAGCAGCTCCTCTTCTTTGGTCTGTAACCGCTTGGCATCTGCTTCTACCCGGTTCTTGCCATACTTGTACTGGGCAGCATCTTGAGAAGAAAAAAAAGCAGCAATTAAAAATTAGGTTTACTAGCCTGGGAAACATGGGACGATCCCTTCTCTACAAAAAATACAAAATCAGCCAGGCGTGGTGGCACATGCCTGTAGTCCCAGCTACTCAGGAGGCTGAGGTGGGAGAGTCGCTTGAGCTGGGGAGTTTGAGGCTGCAGTGAGCTGTGATTCTGCCACTGTGCTCCAGCCTGGATGACAGTGAGACCCCATGTCAAAAAACATTAGGTTTATTCAAGCAGACAATGTGGGAACTCAAAAAAGCCTGTTTAATCAGCCAACTCAGTAAACAAACACAAAGCCAGTTACTGTGCTAATTCAGTAGGAAAAAGGACAGGGCTGGTTTGAACTAAGCAGAAAAGCGACTAGTTCAAATTCTCCAATATTCTTTGAATCAAATTTTTAAAAACAGAAACAGAATATTAGGAGATTCCTTTAACTCACTTCCCTTTGAGGCACATGGCTTATAATTAATCTCAACAAGGTGGAGTGTGAACATTTTATAACAGACACAGGAGTCTACTACTATCAAAAATAATGTCTGAAATCTGCTTCCTTCTCTACCATCTTCAAACACCTCCATAACCCTGCAGTATCTGTTCCTTACGGTCATGTCATCTGCCTGGCTCTGAATTCATCTGAATTGCTGCTACACCCCCAGCACTGAGATCAGCACCTGGCACGGAGTGTGGCACAATAAATGCTTGTTTAGTGACTAAATGAACAGCAGATACATGAAGAGGCAGCCAGGAGCAGTATCTGGAGCCTGACCGTCTAGGAAGGAGTCCCAGCTTGTACGTGTAGCTGCATGACCTGGAACAGGGCACGAAATCCCTCTGTGCCTCAGTTTCCCTTATCTGTGAAATTGGGATAGTAATGCACTGAGTGGTTGCAAGGATTAAATATTTATAAAGCACTTAGAACAAACACAAAAATGGGCAATACATAAATGCTTATTTCATAAAATGAATAAATGAAGAGGAAACTAGCTGAAGGGAAAATTCACAGACTTGGCAACATCATACCACCCGTGAAAACGGCTTTCAAAACCTGGCCCCACGCTCTCTTCCTCTTATTATGTGGGCCTTTTAATAACAGTAATTTAGGACAACACCTCTTTGTTAAGACACATGGAAGAAATGAAGGTTCTAACAAAACTCAGATGGAGGATCACCGATTTCAAAGCTTCCGAGATCTCCCAGTCGCTTCTAACAATCACTCACACCTGAGGGCAACTCCCAGGCCTTCCTGACCGCACACCCCACGTGTCTGACTCCCTCGCAAGGCTAGAAACTACTTCAGGTAGAAGCCACGGGGGTGGCATGATGGTTAAGAACAAAAACACTGGACTCAGGGAGGTGGCTAGAAACCCACACTCCACCCTCCCTTGCTACATGACTCTGCAAGCAACCTCTGGAGAAGCTCAGCTTCACCCTCTCTAAAGCAGAAACGAGAAGGAATCCTGTGTGTGTGCATGCATGTGTACATGTGCATGTGTGAGTGTGCACATGTGCACGTTTTAAATGAGATGTGTATGTGTGTGTTTTAAATCAGAAACATATATCTGAAAAAAATCTAACAAAATAACATGATGCCTGACGTAGTGGACACTGACAATTCTTACCATATCGGCGATAAGTGATTCCCAGAGCCTTGTCCTCTCAGGGACAGCAGGGAGCCATTTCTAGCACCTGTCCTAAATGCTGGATTTGCCAATTCTTGCAATGTAAGCCATCACGATTTCAATGAAATACTGCATTTATGAAGGTATAAAAAGTGATCACTCCCCAGTCAATTTTCCCCTAACCAAAAGAAACAGAATGACAGCAAAAGGGTCAGCAGCCTGAGGAGAGGCGAAGCACTCAACAACCTGAAATGAAAGGATCACTGTTCGCAGCTAAAATAACGACATATTTTGCAAACAGGGCCAAGTCCGAACTCTACTCACTTATTTCTAAAGTAAGCTGTTTTCCCAACAAACGCAATGCAGTAACCTATAAATCTCCACATCTTTTGGTCCCCATGTAATCTCATCTAATCTATAATGCAAGTGGCTGGATTCAGCAAAAACACGGAATGCCATTATTTTTCTCTTTTGTCACCATTAGATGTCACCAAAGTTAATAAAAACTCCCTACAGAAGGTCTCATAAAATAAAGGAATAAATCATCTAGAAAATGAAGTCAGCACAGGTACTGACAGAGAAACACCATGGTGAATGAGACTCCGTGGGATTCGGATTTTGCTTTTAATAAACCTTTCCGGGTGTGAGCTGCTCCTCTCCCCCATCTGCCCCTCCCCAAAGAAACAACACGAAAAGAGGTGAAAGTAAATACACCCAACACATTCGGGAAATAAGATTTGCCAGATAAGGTCAAAGGAAGTTAGTACATTAAACAAATGGGGGTAGGAGGGAGGCTTTGGCCCAACTGGCTCCAACCTATCTGGTCAACATGCATGTTGGGTGGAACAGAGGTGGAGAAAAGCTTAGGTCAGGGATGTACACACTTCCTCGGGGCAAGACGCCGCCTGGTCCTGCGGAGCGATTCCAAGCCTCGTCCACAAACATGGCCAAGGACACTGCCAGCCTCTCCATTCCCCTATGTGGATACTCTGACTCCAAAACCAGAACCACAGGGCAAAGGGATGTCGGCACGTGCCGGTATGAGAGCCTCTCTCTTCGGCAGCTGGCGTGGGGGTTACCAGCTGGGGCTAGCCGGACTCATCTTCATTAGCACAGAGACTGGTCTACCAGTTGCACAGATCCAGATTCGAAAATCTCGGGTACAAATCCCAAGGGGCGATGGCATGTAACCACATCAAACTCAACATCTGCACCTAACTCCCACCTTCTTCCTCTGGGAAATCTTCCTGGACGTGCCCAGATGGACTCAGGAGGCCCTCACCTGTAAATCCCCACACTGCAGCCCTACCACTTGCTTGTCTGCATGTGTGGATCTGTTGGACTGAAGCTGCCAGACAGCAACTACTTCAGTGTATCTTTGAGTCCCTTGAGTGAAAAAATGCTGCCTGGCTGGCTCCCTGATTAGACATCCAACATAATGAGGACTAATGCAAACACAAACACTTAAGAGATGCCATATCACCCCAGATGGATCTAGTGGAGGCAAGGGAAGAAGGTGCTGGGTCCAGGCAGCTGAGTCTCTCGTATCTTAATGCTTCTCTGCCCAATCTATTTTTGGCTGGATGTGGAGTTTGAAAGCCTGGCACCCACTCTGGCTCTGTGATGTACCAGCTGTGAGCCCTCAGGAGAGCTGCTTACTCTCCTGGTTATTCTTTTCTCATTTCTATGATGGGGTAAAGGATAATGCCTGTGCTTACAAAGTGGCTGTGTTTAGTAAACCGGATTGCATAAGAATGGCTTGCTGTGGACACAGGCACCGCAGGACTAACCATTCCTCAGAACTCCTCGTACTGCTCTGGTACTTTGAGGTCCGTGTACTACCTCAGTTATCCCAGCTGCGCCAACCACGGGAGCCACGTGTCTATGTCTGACAGAAAAAGATGCTGAGTTTAGAGTTTGCACGGCTTGTCAACCACAGATCAGGGACCAGAGTTGAGGTCTCCTGACCTGGAGTCCAGGGCTACCTGGAGCTGCAAGCAACCTGCACTCACAACTGCCTCCTATTTTAAAACGCTGAGTCAATCTCACAGGCAGCAAACCAGTTCTGGGCTTCAATTTACAAGCACGGTCAGAAAAGCTGGGTTGAATTCGCCACTGTCCTTCCACGTGGCCGATGAGGAAGGATGACAGTGCCCATCGCTCCGTCTCTCCAGCTGACCCCAAGCTGGCACTCACCGGTGGGCAGGCTCAGACAGGCCCGGCTCCACCAAGTGCACTTGAAGCCAGAATGCAAGACATCCGACGGTATACTTACTCGAAGCTGTCCTTTTCACACCAGCCGCAGGATCCGCTTTTTTTGGCTGACTGCTCAGAGTCTTCCCTTTTCCTGTGACCCCATTAGATGCCACGGGGGGTTTTTTACCCTTGAGCTGTTGAAATAAACATATAAGAACATGAAAAATAAACACACAGTCGAACAAATCTTGGTCTTTTTTTTTTTCGTGCAGTCGTTTCTTTCAGTCTCTGACTCTAAGTATTAGAGAAACTAGTATCGACGCGGAAAAAAATGAATGTGAAAGAAAACCAAGATGGTAGGCCGGGCGCGGTGGCTCAAGCCTGTAATCCCAGCACTTTGGGAGGCCGAGACGGGCGGCTCACGAGGTCAGGAGATCGAGACCATCCTGGCTATCACGGTGAAACCCCATCTCTACTAAAAAATACAAAAAAAAGGGCGAGGTGGCGGGCACCTGTAGTCCCAGCTACTCGGGAGGCTGAGGCAGGAGAATGGCGTAAACTCGGGAGGCGGAGCTTGCAGTGAGCTGAGATCCGGCCACTGCACTCCAGCCTGGGCAACAGAGCCAGACTCCGTCTCAAAAAAAAAAAAGAAAACCAAGATGGTTTCCAAACACTGGGCTGCTGGGATTCTGGGGAATGGCTAAGGAGGGTGTGGCAGAGGCTCTGTAGGATGTGATCCGCTGGAATGCTGCGGAAGTGACCCCTTTCTACTGGCAGATTGCAAATGCTAACCAAGCTGGCACAGGCAGCTGACGACCCCAGAGCACTCAGCTCAGAGGAGGAGTGTGTGTTTCTGAGGATAAACAGCTTTTATTTCAGTGGGATGCCTTTTAGGAGAGGAGCACGACCCTGCAGTGTGAGTTCTGCTGCTCCAAGTGCTTTGACACTGAGTGACATCCTAATGGGGTAAGTGACCGCCTTCTTACTTGCTGATGGAGTCCATGGAAGGAAGCAAAAGAAGCATAACACAGACGCAGCAGCAATAATAGGGAAACTAAACTTCCACTAACTACAGGTTTCTGAAACAGGGAAACAGTACTCTACCCCTGAGACTGATACAGGCCAACACGTTCTGCATTTTGCTGAAGTGACCTTACGTGTAGCTTAGTTGTGTGATTAACTCAGCACGACGGCAAAGGCTCACTCCAGCATCCACGCCCATGCTTTTTTCCATGATATGTTTCCTTCTGTTGCAGGCCTCAGTTTTTGGGAGGCAGAGAGATCTAGCTCCAAATTCTGGCTCTGTCATTTAGGAGATGTTGAGCAAGTTCTTTAAACTTTCTGAGCCCCCATTTGATCATTTAAAAATGTAAAGAGATATCTTCCCACAGGGTTCCTAAAAAGATCAGATGGTGTGCCATACACGGATGAAGCATATGGCACGTAAGTGCTCAGAAAAGTGCAAGGTCTCGCCAGTAAGCAATAGGCTCCCATTAAAATGACCAAATGAGGACAGGAAACCCAGAGGTCATGGAATTTAATTTGCAAAAGTGTTTCCTATTTCAACAAAAACAAAAGGGAGCAATAATAACAAAAACTCCACATGGGAACCATACATCGAATGATTCTCAACCCATGTGGGGACAATCCAAGTGTGCAAGATGGCCAACTGTGGCAGGGTTTTACCTAAGGCGACTCTAATGCCAATAAAAAGACAGGTAGAAACGTAGACAGATACACATTCACTTAATAAATACAACACATAACCTGCCAACTTTTTGGCGTTAAGTCCTCAAAAGAGGCCAACGGCTCCCCTACCCCTGCCCCCCAACTATACTTGGCTCAGGGCCCCTCAGACTCACTGAATGGGAATTCCCAGGGATGGGATCTGAACAACCATCATGAAAAATCAAAAACCAACACCAACCTGCGCATCTGACTTTTGATGAAGCCAACCTATTGGGAGTTAGTGTTCTCAGTCACTACTATCTACAATTCTACAATTTTATCTGGTTCATTATTTTCTTAAGACTTTCCAAAGAATGGAGAAAAAAACAAAGACCTAAAACATACCCATCTGCTGTATGTTCATATTCTTACATATGGGCTTAGGTCTTTAGGCAAAGCATAAAAAATCCTTAGATTAAACATGTATAAGCCGGGCACAGTGGCATGTGCCTGTTGTCCCAGCTACTTGGGAGGCCAAGGCAGGAGGATCACTTGAGCTCACAGTTCAAGTCCTGCCTGGGCAACATAGTGAGACTTCATCTTTTTTTTTTTTTTTTTTAAAGGCCTAACACTACAAAATTACTCTGAAATGTTACTGTTTGCCATAAATACAGGGTGTGCAATGGACAACAGTTCAACATCACGGTTATTATTGTTCAATGGTCATCAAAAGTCCTTATTATCATTGTCTAGTTTGGGAGAGTATACCTTTAGACTTGTCATGGAGAAACACTATCGTACTCTGAATAATCTATTTCATGTTTAAAGATCAAAAGCAATGACTACACAGAGTCAACCCTTCCTCATTACGTGTAATGGAAACATGCTAAAGAAACTGGCCGTTCAAGAATCTTCTGGAAGGTTTTACTACCCGTTTCTTTTAAATTCTCTTCCTTTAGTTGACATAATTCACAAAATTTCACTGGGGAATTTTCCAAGAACAGAAAGAGAGCCAGATGTGGGCAAAGAAACACAGTGCTCAGATAAACCATGAGCTCGTTAGAAATATCTCATCAGTTCCTTGGTAGTCAGGCTGCAAATTATATTCTAGTTGAGGAAAAAAAAAAAAAACCATTACGCTTTGCCTTTGATGAGTCCCATTTACTACAAGCTGCAAAACTCTGTTGGAGCAATGTGACTTGAAGGTGGTTCTAGAATCTTACAGAAGAAGATGCCGTACCTGCGAGTTGAGCCCGAGAGACGCCCTCCCCACAGAAGAGGTATTAGTGACAGACTGAGCGGAGGCGGGGTATTTGTAATGGTTAGAGGACAGCTTGTCAGCAGATAGCCTAGAGGCCTTTCTGTCAGCAGAAGAGTAGCGGGCAAAGATTTGCGGAGGCGGCAAGTTATCGTACAGGCCTGCGTTATCATAAAGCACCTCTTCTCCCAAGCCTCTGCTGCAGGAAGCAGGAAAGCCGTCTTCCAGTTCCCACTGCAACACACACAGCTTTGTGGTTAGTGACTTCGACACAGAAAACAGCAGCTTTTAGCACAGTGAGATGTCATTTATTAACAGTATAGCATTTAGCATAGCATGGTACTCCAACATTCTGCACACAGACTGCAGTTGTTATCAACAAGGCATGCACCCCCCAACACACACACATACACAAACCCAACATAAGCCTGCAGATTGATTCAAAAGGACTGGACTTCTGAAGCCTTATGGAAAAATTTCTTTTTTTCCTTAAACCATTCCCAGAACCCTTGGATTATGAAGTTTTTGTTTTGTCCTGTCTTTTAACGAGAAGAAGCAATGTTGATTTGGCATTTTCTTCTTTAGAGAACCTGGGGTTCAGAAATTCCCCTAGTGCAGGACGTGGATGTGAGGGGAGGAATGAGCACGGGACTAGGGTCCTGGTGCTCTGGGTCTATACGAAGACACACGAGGGCCAAGCAGAGCACTCGATGCTTTTCACAGCACTTCCCACGTCCTGGGTGCTGACTTCATCTCACAGTCATCCGGAGATAGAGGGGGAAATGGAAGCAGACACAGGCCCTAGAGCCGGTGAGTGGCAGAGCGGAGGGAAGGGCGCGCTCATCCCAGCACAGTACTGCCACTAAGCCTCGCACTCCTTCTGGGGACATGAGACCATCTGCAGGCTCCTCCAAGCCCCCGTGCAGGAGTCAGTGACCCAAGTCCTACGGGAACTGTCAACACACACCCTCTGTCCCCTACTCTGTACTGAAGAAAGTGCCACAACCAACAGAACCAAAACGGTCTGTGAAAAGACAAATCAAATCCTCATAGAAAATTAGATGCTTCCAAATCTAACTGATACAATGGTATTATTTTAGCAGAAAATCTCTAACCAAGGACTAAAATAGTGACGTGCCACTGCATGGGACAGAAGAATCTGAGAACATGGACATTAAAGTGTTAACTCAAAAACTGATAACCACAGCCACGGCCTTTTCAGGGTTAAAGGTCTTTATAAATTGCCTGGCATGACAAGAAAGGCAATATTAATTCCTCTCTTATATTCATTTTACCCGGCTGAGTCTTCCTGCACAGTCCTTTCTGCCAGACGGTAATTACAACCTTTTGTTATAAAAATAGAAAAGACTTAAAATTCTGCAGTAGGAGTGTCTGTATTCCTCCGCAATCACTTCAATGTGTCTATTTTTGTGATCTAAAAATAACGGTCCCTGCAGATAAACTCGGATATGAGAGTTTCATAATGACGACCTAGCATATATTTGTCCAGAGTTATTAAAACGGTCTAGACGAGACTATCATTTTCCTAAAATATCAAAGATTAAGTCACATGGAAGACTCAGAAAAACACCTACAGCGACCTCATAGAAGTTTCTAAAGTATGAGCGTACATACTTTCATCTCAGTCTAAGCATCATGGGGTAACACTGAATGGGTAAACATAACTAAAGCTGAAACAGTGCTATGATTCTAGATATTAGGTCATAAAAATGAACTTTTTTTTTTTTTTTTTTTTTTTTTGAGACGCAGTCTTGCTCTGTTGCCCAGGTTACAGTGCAGTGGTGCAATCTCAGCTCACTACAGCCTCCACCTCCAAGGCTCAAGCGATTCTCCTGCCTCAGCCTCCTGAGCAGCTGGGATTACAGGCATCCACCACCATGCCCAGCTAATTTTTGTATTTTTAGTAGAGATGGGGTTTCACCATGTTGGTCAGGATGGTCTTGAACTCCTGGGCTCAAGCGATCTGCCCACCTCTGCCTCCCAAAGTGCTGGGATTACAGGCCTGAGCCATCACGCCTGGCTATAAATATGAACTTCCAAAAACCTAGAAATGAGGCCCTCCAAAAAGAGAAGAGCTGGTAACACAGCCGAACACACAGAAAATAGTTTCAGGAAGGGCCTGAGCAGAGGAAAGCCTAATAAGCAAGGAAGTCACGAACACGTACAGCAGATTATGTCTTAAAGGCGGCTATCTCCAGCCCAGCAATATACACACACAAACAATTCCTACACGCAGAGCCCTTTAGGAATGGCAGACCTTTGTTTCTACAACAGATTAAGCTGCGAATAACTTTAGGAACACTCGCTCCTGGGGCTGGCCTGTAGAGTGTCCTAACAGTCTGAAGACAACGTGCTGGGTGGAGCCGGACGATCACGTGCGTGGTTCCACAGGGTGACGACAGCATCCAGCTCACCGTCACAGGTTCGTGTGTAAGGCGTGCATGGAAGAAACGTCTCTGAGGAAAAGGCGTGTGAAAGGGTCTTTGGGTGGGACGGGCTAGACGTAGGCTCAGAGAAGTGAATGGTTCTCAGGATGCAGATGAGTGCAGTAACTGCAGTCTAAACCCAGTGATAAGACTGCTGTCAAGAGACACTGGAGTGACACAGGGCAAATGGAGGCAGAAGAGCGGGTCCCACCTCAAGAAGGACTCAGAGGCCAGAATCGAGGGCAGGGACTAGCCTGAGAGCCCTACTTCACAGGGTACTGTGGTGCCATCTTAAGCAGGAAGAACTCGCCACAAGACCTGCCCAGGGGTGGAGCGCTGTGGTGACTGGACACCCAGAGACACCCCAGGGAGGATTGGCTGAGGGGGAAAGGAGGAGATTCACTGGACCTGATACCCCTCTGCCTAAGATGGGGGGCTCTACTGGATGGACTCTGAAGCTAGGATGGGATCCAAAAGTGGCTCTGTTTGCCCCATGCCACCCTATCCTAACATGGGACCTATGAGCGGGCCCTGCCCTGCCCAGGGCCCAGGAAGCTCTCCCCGCTCCTATGTCTGTTTCCCTCCCAGGTCCACTCACTCTCACGAGACTCAGAGGCCCTTTCAGGACAAAAATAATCACTTCGCCATTTCTTCTTCAACTGGCACAGAGTCTGGCCCCTGGGAGACACCCAGCCAATAAGGCAAGGGAGAGAGGACTGAGGAGGGAAGGGGGCAGACGAAGTGACAAAAAGATCCCTTTTTAGAATCAGGTGGGGCCTCGCACAGCAAGGGCGGCCTCCCCCACGGGAACCCCAGGGCAGGTCCAGAGCGGCAGGAAGGAGGAAGCAGCCAATGGGAAGGCAACCGAGCCCCAGGGACACACCGCGTCCATCGTGGCTCCTGAGGGATGGGCCACCCGCTTCTGACCCCGGCCACGAGAACCTGCTTTCAGTTTGTTTATGTTCCTGAGCACTGGGGGTCCTCAGCCCCTCTCTTCCCTCAAGGAGGCTGTTGTCTCCTGGTTCCTGCTGTGGGGCAGCTATGAATTTACGGTGCCAGGGCTGACTGAGGACGTTCATCAGAACATCAGGGAAAAGACTGGAGAAGCAAAACAGTAAGAAAAAAGTCTGACATACCTTCCAAGGCTGGAAAACATAACAATAAATTTACTTTATGTCTACCTTTGAAAATTTTCTTAACATAGATGCCAATTTCAAACCCTTCCAGTACTGGGAGACAAATGGCATAGTGGTTTCTCACAAGCCTCCTTCATTCATCCGCTAACTGTGAAGGCCTCATCTCTGAACGCCCAGGGCCGGGCACCGTGCCTGGATCAGACAGGATGCTCAACACGTGGTTGTGAGATGAGTAACAGGCAGACACCATAGAACCAGCACCTGTTGACGAGGCCTGCTGATGACACATATGACACAACACGCTGAGAACAGACTTCAGAACTCCTAAGGCCAGGCACACCCTGGAGGCCAGTGTAACAGAAAGCTGTGACTGAAGACTCCTGCATACATAGGTGGACATATGGATATACAGATAGCGCTGTGCCGGGAGCCAGGAGCCTGGCCGCTCCAAATCTACCCCAAGGGAAGCTGTCGAATTTGTAATGTGATCATTCTTCTATGTTATCATTTCCTTCCTGAGGGGATTTCTCAGCATTTTAATCCCATCGGGAAATAACTATTCATCAATAACTTAAACTGTGTTATGTTTTGATTTAACAAGTTATCCAAGTATTACTCTAACATGCTCTCCTTTAGTCAACATTTTAGTGGGCTGACACGTTTAATTAGTGACAGTGACATTAGGCTGGGCACAGTGGCTCATGTCTGTAATCCCAGCACTTTGAAAGTCTGAGGTGGGAGGATCACTTGAGCCCAGGAGTTCAAGACTGGCCTGGCCAATATAGGGAGATCCCGTCTCTACTAAAAACCAACAAATGAGTGGGATGTGGTGGTGTGCACCTATGGTCCCAGGTACTTGGGAGGCTGAGGTAGGAGGATCGATTGAGCTGGGGAGGTTGAGCTATAGTGAGTTGTGACTGCACCACTGCACTCCAGCCTGGGCAACAGATGGGGACCCTACCTCAACACCAACAGGAAAATGACAGTGACATTAAATGACAAACTGTCTACTAGTCTCAAACTATCCACTTGTCCAAATGCAGATTCAGATGAACAGCATGTCAGAAACCAGGAGAACAGAGATGAGATGGAGTCTCCTTGCTTCAGAGCATTAAAAAGCTGACCTTACTCAGTACCTGAAACCAGGGGAACTGAAGCATACAATTTTCACAGCTGTCTAACAAAACCAACCATTACTCCAGCCAAAGGGCACTCACCGAGCCGTTGATGCATGGGACGTCGTCGTAATGAAGCGCCGTCCCGCTGGGGTGGGCATAGCCGTTGGAGGTGCCCCCCAGATATGGGTTAGCAGATATAACACGCCTGTTCATGAAACTGAAAGAAAGGAAATGCGTTAAAATCCAAAACCTGACCACCTTTTACTCCAACGAGTCAAGTCTTTAATGAGTTCTGACTTTATTCCCAAGACTATGTCAGAGGTCACAGGGGCAGAAAAGAAATACTAGACAGAATATAGGCGGAAATGAGAAGATGCATTGGAAGGACTGTCCTATAAAATTAGGACAGCACATAATTTGCAGAACCGCGGCACAGAACGCCAATAACCAATGCTAGGTACACACAGCAAAGCCTGCAAGTAACAGGCGTTCAGAAATACCAAGCGTTTTGATGATCATCCGTCTCTCACAGCGGCCAGCTCCTCTCCCAGCCTGTGTTCATAATAATGCTTTACTGGAACATACGCCTCTTTCGCAAGCGTGTTACTTCCAAGAGGACAACATGGCCTGCAGAGCTGAAAGTTACTGTCTGGTTTTTCTGGGAAAAAGTTCATGGATCCCTGTTCTATAAGCTTTCTGGGACACTCATTCACCAAGTATTTATGGAGTTCTTAGTACTCAATCAGCACCACTGCCACCCCACACATCTTCACCTCTTCCCTGAAATTTCCTCAACTTCCGAGAGCCACTGACAGCGGCCTGAGAAATCCTTTAGAAGGTGTGTTATTGTGGCATAATAAATACATATTTTGGTCTTTGTCCCAAGTTCCTGGTCAAGGCTCCTAAAACTCTAGGAATTTCCTACATGAAGAGCAGGATGAGGGTTTGTTGTCAGGGAAATCAACCCTGTGATTAGGGCTGGAACTTTCCATAAAACCCCAAAAGGATGGGGTTCCCAGAGCTTCTGGGCTGTGTGCATGCGGCGGTGCTGGGAGCGTGGTGCGCCCGGCGAGGGCATGGGAGCGCTGTGCCCCACATGCCTTGCCTGGCACATCTCTTCCCTCACTGCTTCTGAGCTGTGTCCTTTTACAGTAAACTGGTAATCCAGTAAGCACGCTCCTCCTGCATTCTGTGAGAGTTCTAGCAATGACTGAACTGGAGGGGAGGGGTCGTGGGAACCTCCAACTTACATCCCACTGGTCAGACTCACAGGTGACATCCTGGACCTGTGACTGGCATCTGAAGTGGAGTCAGCTTTGTGGACTGGGCCCTTCACTGGGAGGGCCTGACGCTGCCTCCTGGAAGACCACTGAGGGTTGAGTTCATGTATGAGGACACCCAGCTGGTGCTCACAGAAACCTAGAGAAGTGCTTGGCGTGAGAAAGACCTGCCCACCTAGTGGCCAGGGGTGAGGCCAACAGTGTGAAGCCTGTGGTGAGGAAACGGCTCCCTCCCCTTTAAGGAGGGCAGGCCGGGCCACGCCAGCCTCCGCCCAACACCCCCAGGGGCTTCTGAAGTCGCAAGGTGCTGCCCAGGGCCGCGGGGCTCCGAGGGACTGGGTTCCTGCTCCGTCACTGCGCGGTGATTTCCTGCGCTCCGTCAGTCTCCTGGGTGCCCCGGCACTCCCCTGGCTCTTTCAGCTTCCCCAGCCCCTGTGCCTGCCAAACTCCTCTCCTGACACCCCTCGCACCCGGGTCTCCGCGTGGGTGCTGCCCCCCAGGAGGCGGCCCGCCCCGCAGCCCCACAGCGGCCTCTCCCTCCCCTCCGGGCCCAGGGCCACTGCCCTGCATCTGCGTCCTGCCTGCTCTCCCCTCTGGAGGGCTGGCCTCAGGAGCGCGGGGACCACGCGGGCACACGCAGGGGCAGGGGCAGGGGCAGGGGCAGGTGCCTAGAGGCTCGTCCGGCTTCCGAAGCCACGGGTCAGGACTAACAATGTAAATCCCAGGGAAGGGACCACCCCGACAGCATTTCCTGCTAGTAGGGGTATTTCACAGGATCCTGGGCTTCTGTGATCACCAGATGAGGAAAACACAGGGTAGGTGAAAACTGGGGAGAGAAACACAGGGGCAAGTGAAGCCTGCCTCTTTGATAAGAAGTCCGGCAGCATAGCCTCGGGAGCGGCGGGAGGAACCGAGGAATCGGGCTTGGGGATCGGGGCTGGGCTTCAGCAGCGCGGGCCGCGGAAATGGCTCCGCACAGAGCGCGCGTGTGCCCCCTGCTGGGGAGGGACGCCATGCGCGGCTTGCTGCCTGGACACATTCTTCAATTATAATTTAAAAAGTTTTTCCTTTGCTTATAAAAAATTAATACAATTATACTAAACTTAAAATACATACAGGTATATGTAGGAAAATAAGATGAATAAGAAGAAAACATACAAGAAGGAAAGGCACAGCAAAACTTGAACATTTGTTTCGCAGTAATAGATTTTGATTTTTAAAAATACATATTTAAGGTTTTTCAATTAAATGCCTCATTGGAGGGCTTTTGGGGAGACAGCGCTATGTATACTTTTTGTCAGTGAGAGGCAGTAAATGGAGGAATGAATAAAGCCCGGCCACGGGGACCACCCCCTCCCCTGTGCCCTGGGTCGTACTGCCTTGAGTCCTTCTCCTTCCAACGGCAGGCACATCTCTCATGGGCTTACATCTTCGGTTTCGAGCATGTGCCCTGCACTCGCCCTGCTGCAGCAGGGACAAAGGATGGGGTCAGAACAGAGGCCCTGGTGGCTCCACTCCTGCTTCTGTGCTGGGAAGAGTCACTGCAGGAGGCCTCTGACGGGCTCACCTGTCAGGACCTGGGAGCACGGGGATTATGGGTCATAGGCACACAGAATGTCTAGGTGGAGGAGGCCTCAGCCAGGAGCTCGTCACCCTTCACCCCATAGAGAGGGACCTGTCCCAGTGAGGACAACTCCGCCCGGCCCCCAAGAGGGCAGGGCCTGGGGACCCGACTAAACACGAGGCCTCCGTCTTCCGCTGGGTGTCTCCGCACAACAGGATTTGTAGCCAAAGATAGAAGTGGAAATGAAGTAAGAGGCCACATGCCACTTGTTACACCAAAACCAGGAGACAGTCATGGGGAGCTATTTCACAATAACCTCCGGGGACTCAGAGGAAAGGGTGGCCAAGAGGACAGCCTCCCATCCGTGCATCTCCCCACGCTCCGCACCAACCCCTGCTTTCCCTCCTCTTCATCCTCGCCACCCCATCCGTGCATCTCCCCACGCTCCGCACCAACCCCTGCTTTCCATCCTCTTCATCCTCACCACTGCTTCCTGAGGGGCTCCCAGCTGACTGTGACTTGAAGAGAGTTTCAGGAAAACTCTGGAGTATTTTCCTGTGTTATATAATCTATGTACCTCATTGTAAATAGGTTTTCAGGAAAATACGTTTTCATTGTTTACCATTACTAAAGTTCCTAAATATCCTATTTTTCTTGGGAGAATCTCCATTATTATCTTACACTTTCCTCTTTTCAAAATATATTACTGCCGTCTCTTCCTCAGTCGCACACAATGCACAAAGAATTCTCCTAAGAACCTTGAAAAGATTCATTAACTGGCTGCCAGTTTATATAAAAGCAAAACATTTAATCTTAGAATATTCATCACACTGGCAAGCAACCATATTTTGAACACTGCTTCCTTGTCACATCTCATCTCTCTTAACTCTTACAGGAATGTTTGGCTAGAAAACTTGAAAATAAGCTTTGTTGCTAACTGACACCTCCTATAAAGACTTTAATGAGGTAGAAAAGATGCCTGCAGCCATAAATTCATTACATGCATATTTTTAATAAATATTTTTAGTATTATAATCTACATTCCTTTCTCAAAAATGTGACCTTGCCACATTTGGTTTAGATTAACACTCTCGTCATTTATAGAGTAAAGGCCAAGTTGTATTCTAGGGCGACTTTTAATTCAGGGTTTCTCTTAAATGTGGTTATTGGTTTGCTGATTATACTTGCAATTACATGTGGCCGTAGGATAGGTTTTTATGGAAATTTAGTATCTTCCAAATAAATATAGTGAACATCCATAACCACTTTTATGTCAGTCTAGTTGGGCAGATTTTGCAAAACTAGATTTAAGGATATTATACTCTTTAAAAAACTTTAAATGTGCTTTATTTACTGCATAGTACTTAACAAATGGAATCATTATAATTTACTCACATTTTGCTGATTAGAAAGAATATAATTAAACAATAACGAGTATAAATAGAACGGTAAGTACTAGACTACGTTTATCCCGATTTCCACACAAAAGGACAGTGGTGAGACCAGTCTGCACTGTAGAAACCCTCCAGTGTTACTGGGGATTTCATGGACAATCTGTGCAAGACTAATTCCACTTGTCAGGGCTACTGACCTTAGTTGGGGGTATGTAACATGTGGTTTGAGTCCTAAAATGGGCCAAGTTATCTTCACTTTGATAACTATTTCTTAGCCCCAGAATGTCCTAGCTAAGCATTAAATGAACGTCCATTTCACCACTGAAGACACAAAGGAAGACTGCTCCAATTCCCCATAGAGAGCACCTGTGTGGAAAAACTAGATGGTGGTGTTCACATTAAACAGGCACGACACAACAGCACAGGCATCTGAGCCCATCTTCTCCACACTTGAAAGGTCGCGTCATCTCAGCACTGGCGGGTCTGCCAGCAGCTGTCTCTATGTTTCTCCTCACTTGCTGATGATGGAATTCATGACCAGCTTTGTTTTCATTCGCTCCCTCACCCCAGTCCCCACTCTCTAAGGAGGAGAGAAACATATGCAGCCGTCAAGGGGTCAAAGACGCCGGAGCTGCAAGTTTCAGAGATGAAGTCGCCCACCCTCTCTATGTTCTACAGAAGACAGCAGAGGTACTAACAGGTAACGAATGGCTTGTCCAAATTGTTCTAATTAGTAAATACCAAAGCAGGACCCAAGCCAAGACGCCCTACCTACTACCTGCTGTATTTGAAATGAAAATCTGAGAAATGCGTTCATTGTTATTCACTTAAAAGTGGCACCGTGGGCCATGCCTGTAATCCTAGCACTTTAGGAGGCCAAGGTGGGAAGATCACTTGAGCCCAGGAGTCCAGGAGTTTGAGACCAGCCCGGGCAACATAACAAGACCCTGTCTCTACCAAAAAAAAAAAAAAAAATTAGCCAGGTATGGTGGCACATGCCTGTAATCCCAACTGCTTGGGAGGCTGAGATGGGAGGATCCCTTGAGCCCAGGAGGTCGAGGCTGCAATGAGTCATAATTGTGCCACTGCGCTCCAGCCTGGGCAACCGAGCAAGACCCTTAATCAAAAAAATCACCACCACCACCACCACCACCAACAACAACAACAAAACCCCAATAACAAGTGGCGCTGTTCACACATTTGTAAACCTAGTTAGTGTCCAGCTTAACAGAAGGTAGCTGGATTCTCACACCTGCTTCTGCATTCAATCTGTCACCAAATGCGCTTTTGGTTGAAGTATGTGAAGAAAATCCAGCCTCAAACAGATGTAAGCTGGACAAGTGGGGCACGTTTTAATTGCTTTTTCCGGGTTGTAGCTGCGCTTCTTTAGTACTACACCAAAACGCGGCAAGTGGTGGCTTCTCACCGCCAACTGCAATGGAGCTGGAAAGCAGATCCATCGACTCACGTTAAAATCCAGTCGCTTATCTTGCACTAGGAATAGATCTTTTCCCAGGCATGGCTTCTGCAGATCTTCCCAACGTTGACACCCTTCATTATATGACATCAACAAAACTGCTCACTGACATGACTACAGATCTCAGCAGGAGTCTGTGGGTGCTGAGAAGCTGGCAAGCTCACCATGGCAGATGCAAATTTTCCAGAATTCTAATTTCTAAGGAAAGCTTAAATGTATCGTAAGCAACAAATACTGCCAACTGTTTGCCTAGAGATGATGATGGGTGTAGCTAGCTCATTTTCAAGGAAACATCTGCAAATGCCTATGTGCGAATAACCACAGTTTGTCTGTTGCTTTGTCAAGTAAAAATAAAACTTAACGCAGCTAGTTCTCTGAGCACCTCACTTGTCTGAGCTGTTCCTCAACAGGACCACTGTCATTGTACACGCCTGCGTGCTCTCCGTGGCCTCTCATCACGCCACGTGGAACAGGAAAAGCACACGGGCTTCAGAGACTTCGTGCAAATATCTACTATCTGATCCTTTATAGAAAAAGTCACCATTTTTACTGCTTCCTCAAGGACATCTGAAGTGAAACCAGCATTTTCTTTTTTTTTTTTTTTGAGACGGAGTCTCGCTCTGTTGCTCAGGCTGGAGCGCAGTGGCCGGATCTCGGCTCACTGCAAGCTCCGCCTCCCGGGTTCACGCCGTTCTCCTGCCTCAGCCTCCCGAGTAGCTGGGACTACAGGCGCCGCCACCTCGCCCGGCTAGTTTTTTGTATTTTTAGTAGAGACGGGGTTTCACCGTGTTAGCCAGGATGGTCTTGATCTCCTGACCTCGTGATCCACCCACCTCGGCCTCCCAAAGTGCTGGGATTACAGGCGTGAGCCACCGCGCCCAGCCCAGCATTTTCTTTTACTATCGCAAATGGTAAAATTCTTTGAGTATTTGCACTGGCAGTGACGACGATTATTAATACAGAGAAGGACGACTGTTGGTGCGAAGCTGCCAGCCAATGGTCGCTAATGCAGATGTCCAAACGGTGGGAGGCGGAAACAATGTCTTATGAAAATAATTTAACTCTGCAGACTGCCAGAAAGGGTCTGGAATATCCCCAGGCGGTCTCTGGACCATACCAAGAACTGCTGCTATAAATATTTCTGCCACCATTAGTTAAAGAAATATTCACCGTTCAGAAGGACGTTTTTATACATGATTGCAGCATTTTTTTTTTTTTTAAATCACAATTTAAATTTACAAAGTACTTGCTGGATAGCTTTGAAAACTCAAGTCCTCATTACGGCAATATGTAGAATCATTTCTGCTTCGTAGAACCATTCATCTAATACAGGGGTCAGCAAACCATAGGCCAAATCCAGGCCACGGCCTGTTTTCACAAATAAAGTTTTATTAGAACACAGACACACCCATCATTTACGTACGGTGTCTGGCTGCAAAGGGAGCTGAGTGGATATTAACAGGAATCGTCTGGACCACAAAACCAAAAATATTTACTATCTAGTCCTTCATGCAAGTTTGCCACACGCTGCGCGAATAGAAAACCCAGTGGGTTGACATGACAAAAACATTGCTGCAAAATTTGGATTAAGATAATGCAAAAGGGAAAGCCTTTAGTTTTTCTTCGGAGACTATATCCTCACATAAAAACTAAGTGAAACTAAGTTAGCGAAAAGACAAGTATTGAACTGTGGTGCCATTTCACACGGCAGTGGGTCTTACCAGAAGGTCTGTTTGGCTGTCTGAATGACACTGGCAGACATCTCCACATCGATGTAGTCATAGTGCAGGGCCCCCGGGTCTGTGGACGACCCCGTCTCTGCGAGTAAAATCCCAATCCACCTGCCCATGTCCTCAGAGGAAGATGCCTGTGGAAGTGGGAAAAAAGGTAGGTTATATTTAACTAAAGATTTTTACATTTTCGTAAATGCGTCCAAGAAAGAGACCACATAATAGGAAAGGCGATGGAACGTGATGTCCCTAAGAAGAAACGAGAAGGAAGACGCAGCCACTGGCTGAGCGATGGGATTAACGTCACGTTCACAGCAGGTCTTAACTTAGGAAGCGGCATCCCAATTATACCAAAGGTGAATGAAACTCTGAGGTCCTAAAATGCCTTCCAATTATCATAGGGAAAGGCACTAGGTGTAAGACACGAAAATTAATGGGATTAATTACATTCCAGCTGAAGGAACTTGCTGAGGAACCTCTGGCGACATCGCCTGACCAGGAGAAGGAGCACGTCCCAGCTGCTGCTGCCTGACTTGGAAAGCATGACCAAGCGCTAGGCCCTTACTGGTCTCAAACATTTTTATCCAGGAGTCCTGGGTGAGTCCCCCTACATGGGCCTGAAATGGTCATTTAGTTTCTTGATTAGATGATATAAAAAAAACTAATTTCCTTTGATATCAATTGTGTTTCCATGCGGGAACGATGCTCTGAAATCACTGGGCTGCTTTGGGCACACCATTTTTTAAGATGTCTGATATCTCCTCCATTTGGTCTGCTTAATTTTGCAAGTCTGAAGTAGGTCTTTAAGATTATGTTCGTTCAATTTTTAAGTCATCCTTTTTTTTTTTCCCCCTCTGAGACATGGTCTCGCTCTGTCACCCAGGCTGGAGTGCAGTGGTGTATCATAGCTCACGGCAACCTCCAACTCCTGGGCTCAAGCAATCCTCCTGCCTAAGCCTCCCAAGCAGCTGGGACTACAGGTGCGCACCACCAAGCCCAGCCAATTTTTTTTATTTTTTATTTGTAGAGACAGGGCCTCGCCATCTTGCCCAGGCTGGTCTCGAACTCCCGGGCTCAAGCAATTCTCCTACCTCAGCCTCCCAAAGTGCTAGGATTACAGGTGCAAGCCACCATGCCCAGTTTTAAGCCATTGTTTTAAAGTGATTTAGAAAATCAGTTATATTTTTAATGGTATTTGAAATCTTTAAAAATTTTGATTAATCAAATATGTAAATAATGGTTAGAGTTTAGGAGAAATTAAGCTATCAAATTTATGAGTTAACTGAATGTTGAAGAAAACAAATTCATTGCTTATAAAAATTACTAATTTAAACAAAGATCTTCTAAGTTGAGCTTAAAGAAAATTGGGTTTTATAATTATAACCTTGGCAAGTTTAACACCGATCAAACTATAAGTAATTGTAAATACTCCACGCCATGTAGAAAGGCCTCTCTAAAGGAAGGGATGTTAACAAAGAGGCAGCTATTTTTTGATGTTGAGAAATTGGCTAGTGATATTTTCCATACTACAAATCATTACTAATCATACACAATGAGGCCATGAGGACAAAGGGAAGGAATTCCCAGTAAGTACCTTACAGAGAGTAAAAACAGAATCAATGTTTGCCAAATTAAAATGAATTGATTTGAATACCTGGATTAAAAAAAAAATCACAAATGTGTTCTCTTCACAGGTCTTATGTCCTTCCTAAAACGAAATCTATATTGAGAATGTATCCATGATTAGTCTATTCCTATGTCACTATAACCATTGCATCAAAGCATTTTAAAAATGTTTTCATACAATTAATATCTAAGATGTCGCTGATATTATTACATTAGAGTTTACCAATTGCTTTCTTCATAGTTCATTGTAAGAAATTTCCTCATAGGCTTTTAAAAAATAATACTGTGGTGTTGGAGGTATTAGTTCTCACAGCTTTTAATACATAGGTATAGACAGAGAGACGTGTGTGGGTGCGTGTATGCATATATGCACGTACATGTATACATACACTCGTTAAGTATCTGTCGCATGTATAACATATAAACGTGTGAATGTGTGTGTATGTATCCAGATCCACATCCACACATCTGTTTCTAGCGTTTGTCTACTGAAAAGACCCAGGCGCTCTGGTCCACTGGCAGAAGTGAGCACATCTGGCCCCCAGATCCTGGCATCTCAATTCTCTGCCATTCTCCTCTAAAAGGAACAGATTGCTTTGGAGGAACGGCTGACTCCAGGTCTGGAGCAGGGAGAAGTACAGGATGAGCCTGGGGCATCTCCTTGTGCCATAAAGTAAGGAAAGTGCTCCAAGCATGATGGACTGTAATCTCTTTATTACAGGGACATGGCAAAGGACAAATAACCAGCTCCGAGGGCCTCCTGCAGACCAGATCTGTGAGAGTTTGATCAAAATAAGTCACGACATTGAAGGATATAATCACTGATTAAAAATCTATAGGCTGGGCTGGGCGCGGTAGCTCACGCCTGTAATCCCAGCACTTTGGGAGGCTGCGGCGAGAGGACCACGAGGTCAGGAGATCGAGACCATCCTGGCTAACACGATGAAACCCTGTCTCTACTAAAAATACAAAAAAAATTAGCCGGGCTTGGTGGCGGGCACCTGTAGTCCCAGCTACTTGGGAGGCTGAGGCAGGAGAACGGCATGAACCCGGGAGGCAGAGCTTGCAGTGAGCCGAGATCACGCCACTGCACTCCAGCCTGGGTGACAGAGCGAGACTCCGTCTCAAAAAAAAAAAAAAAAAAAAAATCCTACACAAAGACACACAGACATATAGAGAGAAAGGGGTGGCAGGGAGAGTGCACACACAGGGCTGTGCAAGAAACAGCACAGCAAGCACAGGGCACATTGGTCTTTGACGGATAAGGATGAAGGGCGCACAGGCATCCTTTGTGCTATCCTTACAACTTTTCGGTAACTCTGAAGATATCTCAAAACAAAAGTTAAAATAAAAGGATCTTGGAAAAAGTATAGATTGCAACTCCTCTACTGACTGGCTCATGGCATTTCGCCACTGATGAGGACAGGCTTCTTGCTTACGTTGGAAGGCTGTAGATGTTTTATGTGTCACTTGTAAGTGAAATCACTTTTCAGCTGTAAAAATAGTGGTCATACATGAAGAGATACTGGGTAAACTTCCAATTCTTGCTGTCGTGTCATTCAGGAAACTGAGTCTACTTACTTCAGCTCTCTCAAGGAATAAGCACCTTCCTGAGTGGTCCAAGCATTGGTGAAGGTACGAAATGCTACCGCTTTCTCTCCAGCACTTGGGGCACACAGCTACAGTGCCCCCAGCAATGGTGGGGCAGGTGACTTCTTCACCAAACAGCTCCTAACTTCCACCCAACCCCACCCCACCCTGAGCTTCTCTGTCTCGGCACTCAGCCCAGCGTCTCCCTCTTCATTCCTGCATCTAACCTGTGCCAATTCATGCCTCCTTTTCCTGGCAACCCTTCTCAGATCTGCTGCCAGAGCTCTCATGGGAGACCCGCATTGTTACATCAAGAGTACAGTTTCTTCGTTTAAGTTTTCAGCTTTTTTCCACTGCCATCCACCCTACAGTTTTCAGCCCACATCAATGTTTACAACGTACACTGACTCTAGCTCAGCATTCATGTTTTACGGTGGGTAAAGAAGCCAAGAGAGAACAAAAGCTTTGGCCGTGGTCAGGGTCTGCACAGAGCTGAGACTGGAACCCAGCTGTCTCAAGCCCATCTGAGCCCAGCCCTCTCTGTTAGATCACACTGCTGCAAAACCAGCCACGGGGGCAGCTGTGCGTGCTTCTGACCTTCTCTTACCTCCTGAGCCCTGCAGGAAAAAGATGGTGTTCATCTATTTTTCACCCCCACCAAAAAAAGCAGCCTCTGTGAAAATAGTTCCTGCAATGAACTCCTATGTGTGAAATTCAAGATCTTCAGAAAGATTGCCTGACTGGGCCGTCAAGGTTTAGGCGGCAGCCCCTGGCACTCTCTCCTCCGCCGATGAGCATCACTGAGCAGGCATTTAGAGCAGGCTCCACACCAGGTGAGTTTCTGCCACACACCAGCCACCCACCACACCTCACGTGAACTGGTTTCTATCGATTCTACAGCATGAGGTGCACTGACATGGACGCGACCATCTGACGTGTGAATGCATGGATCTATCTGTGTGTGTGTGTGTATCTTTGCATCTTAGTCATAATAACACTAAGTGGGGGAAAAGACTCAGAAATAAAGGGAAAAATCACAGGAAAAAAAGGTCTAAAACAGGGCAGAAAACATCAACAGAATGTTTTCTATGATGAAAAACTAAAAACTTTCAATAACGAAAGTTTTGAGTATGTAGCTCTAAGTTTTAACTGTCTTTTCTGCTTTCATGAATAAGAAATTCTAGTGAAGCAGCCAAACAAATAACAAAGCGTGCACCAAGCCCAGGGCTCTGAAACAGCAAAGGTGCTCTTTCAGTTTCTGTGTCGTGTGGCTCACTGGCCGCCATCTACAAGGCATTCAGATGGCCCCAAAAAGTCTTCCATCTGTAAAGAGGTCAAGAACATTGCAAAGGAAACATTTACCACCACTTCAAAGAGCTCATATGGCGGAAAGAGCTTTCTTGGAAATTTTAAAACAAGTTGTTTTCCAGGTACTTTAGAGAAGCAATGTACTCTGTGGGATTGTGTATGTAATTTCTCTGCAAACAGGCATAAAGAGGAACTCAGACAAGGAGGCAAGTCAATCTGACGTGTGCAAATGGGGAGAAAGTGGTGCTGGGGTCCTGGCATTGTCATATCTCCCAGAAAAAAAACTGAGGCAAGAAGCAAAGCAGAGACTCCCAGCCTGGGCAGTGAGAGAAAAGGGGGTGGGCCGAAAAGAGCTGCAGTCAGCAAGATGGGAGGAATTTTGACAGAGGAGTCAGCGTTCAGCGTTTGGAAGGAGAATCACCGCGTGTGTCCCCCTGTGGAGTGCAGCCCCTGGGAAACACCCTACCTCCAATACTGCAACCTCCTGGCCATTGCGCAGCAGCCGGAACGTCAGGGGATGTTTAGAATCCAAACCCGGGATCACCTCGCAGCCACGGAGGGGAATAGACACAATGTGGGTCTTCAGGTCGGTCCTGTCCTTGTGGAAAATGAGCTTGTTATCCTTCACTCGGCACCAGCGCTCCCGCCAGCGGCTGTTGGAGAGCACGTTCAGATAGCCTGCGGGGAGACAAGCCACACGTCAGCCGCCTCGGACAAGACCAGGCGTGGTGAAGACATCCAGAGTCGCACTGAGGAGGCCCAGGGATGGGAGTGTGGATAAAACAAGTCCCTCACACGATCGATCAAGCTTTAAATGCAAATTCACATAAACTAGGAGAGCTATAGCATCACAAGTTTTGGGGGCTTTTCATTGCACCAATAGACCGCATCTGGAAGCCCCTAATTCAACACGTGCGAAGAACCAGTTACCGGACGTCTAGTGTTGATGTGGGACTATGGAATTCACCTAGAGCACGTGAGAAGTGAACAAGCCATTGGGTTTCGGATGGCCAGGATGGGGGCACAACAGGTGCCTTCAAACTGGAAAAGGATTTCATTTATTTTGAGGAGCTGCAAATGATACAAGTAGGGTAAGAGTCACAGGCAGGCAGATTTTTGGCTTAACATGAAGAAACAAAAACTATCTAAAAATGAAAACTTTCCAAGAAATAGGAGGCCCTGGGAGGCACTAAGATCCCCAGTGCTGGAAGCAGCCTACCGATGGCAGAGGCCCCGGGGGCAGGTTCCCACCCGAGGCTGAGGACGTACCTGCCGCCTTTCTGCTCCTGAAACTGCAAAGCGACTGGTGAAGCTGCCCAGAGGAAATCTAAACTCTAAAGTCTGAATGTACATGAAAGTTTGTGATCTGTGTCTCTGCTATGGCACAACATCTTCAGTATACCACAGAGACAGGAGTGGCAGAATGACAGGAAAAATTATTATCCTCGTTTTAAAAAAAAAAAAAAAACACCTTCTCAAACACAGGAAATGGACCATTTTCACTTGTTACAAACATAAAATGGATTCTTCTAGAAATAACAAGGCATGAAAAAATAGATATCAGGGTGGCTGTACCTTCCAACCACACCATATTGCTAGTAAATCACTGCCCCTTTAAGATTTAGAAAGCGAGTTAAATAGCATATAAAATGTTGATAGTGGGAGAAAAGGAAGTACCAGACTCCCAACTGAAGTTCAGCTACTCCTTTAGTTCACACATGCACACACACACACACACACCCCTGCCTCAAAAACATTAAGAAACAAAACAAGATACATCCTTTCCAATTCTGATTTTTTAGATTCCTTTTCCAGCCAATAGTAGTCCCAGCTACTTGTGAGGCCAGGGTAGGAAGATCACCTGAGATTAGGAGTTCAAGATCAGCCTGGGCAACACAGTAAGACCCTGTCGCTAAAAAAAAAAAAAAAAAAGAAAGAAAAAAAGAAAAAAAAATCAATTAAAATGCCTTTCCAAAAGCGTTTTGGAGGATGTTTCTTACTGCTTTTTATGTTCTCAGTCTTACACATCTTATTAGCAATAGATAAATGCTATAAAGACCAAAAAAAAAAAAAAGAGAGAGAGGTATGTTCAGGACCCAGAACGATGCTTTACAACTTACAAATACTGGTTCAGTGGCTTACTAGGTACACACTGATGAAGTCTAAATTTTCATTGGCTGAATGTGACGTCATTTCTACCAACACACACTGAAGAGAAATGCACACTGCTTCTTCTGGAACTAAAACTTTCATCTGGGTGTGTGGCTGCTGTCCTTAGGGAGTGACAGAAAAAGGAGGCGCCAGGCTGAGGCTCCAAGGCCTGTGCCGGCCGCCGCTCTTGTGTTCAGAGAGCAAATACACTCGATCCAAGCTTCCTTGTACTTCAGACACTTAGGAGGTCTGCAGGGAGGCGAACAGCTTTTAGAATCAAAGTAGGAAACGGGCTCAGAGGCTTTACTTCTTGAAGAGGACGTTAACTCCCAGATAATGTGAAGTTATCTTGTCAAGACCACACAGCAAAGCCAGACCTGAACCCCTGCTGGGAGTCAAAGACAGCAGATAAAAGAGCTGTTAAATTGGCATTACAACCAGAGGCCTTATATCACTATTTTGCTCTGTTAAAATGCTATTTGTAAACGACAACAGTGTCAATACATTTATTCTTTTTTTTTTTTTTTTTTTTGAGAGGGAGTCTCACTCGTCGCCCAGACTGGAGGGCATGTGCCATCTCGGCTCACTGCAAGCTCCGGCCTCCCAAGTGCACACCTCTCCTCCTACCTCTGCCTCCTGAATAGCTGGGACTACAGAGCGCCCGCCACCATGCCCGGCTAATTTTTTGTATTTTTAGTAGAGACGGGGTTTCACCGTGTTAGCCAGGATGGTCTTGATCTCCTGACTTTGTGATCCACCCGCCTCGCCTCCCAAAGTGCTGGGATTACCAGCCAATACAGTTATTCTTTAAAAAGAAAAAAGAAACCTCTACTTAAAAAGAGGTCAACTATCATATCTGAGCATCCGAGTGCCAGCGCTGGGAACCACGTGCTCACCATGGCTCTGATACCATCTAGAGTAACCACTCATGCTGAAAGCCAACATTTTTACATTTTTAGACTTGCACACAATGACAGCCAACTGTATCAATCCTAAGTATGTTTTGAGCATGAGTTGACAAACGTAAAGGTGTATCTAAAAGGAAAAGGGAGGCAAGGACTCCCCTTAAATCACTTCACATACTGAGGTGCATTAAGATAACATGCCCCAAAACGGTTTCTGAAAAGGAGCAGTAAGCTACAGGGCAAGGAAAACAGCCCGTGCTCTGGAGCGGTCAGGGCCCAGGCACCCCTTCACGGGGCCCGTAGAAGGAGTGGAAGAAACCGAGAATTGAAATGCCAGTGACTTCAATGACAGAGACTGTACAGTGCAGCGGGGCAGCAATTCCCAACCACAAAGGACTCAGTCCGATTCCCAACCACAGAGGACCCAGTCCGATTCCCAACCACAGAGGACCCAGTCCCCAAGAGGGCATGGACTCTGCAGTGGGGTGGCAATTCCCAACCACAAGGGGCCCGGCCCCAAACCCCAGCCCGGCCCCGATCCCTAGCCCACCCTGACCCCCAGCCACAGGGCGCCCAGCCCCGATCCCCAGCCACAGGCGCCCGGCCCGATCCCCAGCCACAGGGGACCCGGTCCCGATCCCCAGTCACAGGGACCCGGCCCCGATCCCCAGCCACAGGGGACCCGGCCCCGATCCCCAGCCACAGGGGACCCGGTCCCGATCCCCAGCCACAGGGACCCGTCCCTGATCCCCAACCACAGGGACCCGGCCCCAATCCCCCGCCACAGGGGACCCGGCCCCGATCCCCAGCCACAGAGGGCCCGGCCCTGATCCCCAACCACAGGGGACCTGGCCCCGATCCCCAGTCACAGGGACCCGTCCCCAATCCCCAACCACAGGGACCCGGTCCTGATCCCCAGCCACAGGGGACACAGTCCTGATCCCCAGCCACAGGGGACCCGGTCCTGATCCCCAGCCACAGGGGACACAGTCCCGATCTCCAGCCACAGGGGGCCCGGCCCCGATCCCCAGCCACAGGGCACCTGGTCCCGAAGAGGGACATGGACTCTCATGGTGTCTCCTTCCCTGACAGAATCTGGCCCAAAGCCACCAGACACTATGAATTTCTTGACATTCCAGCCATAAAAGGGATGATTATATTGGACAGATCACATTTTATTTAGAAAATGACTTTATATGAAATTATCATAATGCCCCCAAATTTCCCCCCCCCAAAAAAATCCCCTGGATAACAGACCTGTTCACAGCAGCAGGTGGCTCCACCGTCACCTGTCTGTGTTCAGCGACTGCCCCTACCCCGTCCAGCCCCCTGCCCCCATTTCTCAAAATGGGGAGGCCCAAAGTTCCTACATTCTCGGTAGGGAACATGAAGAGGCCACACAGGAAATGGCAGACAACCTCGTCTAAGGAGTCTAGAGTCAGGGGGTCCTCTGGACCCCCCATTATTAGCCTGGCTGATGAAATCAGTGCTGCCTAGGACCCCGTCATCTCCAGGAATATTTACGCTGGAGCGACATCTACCACCAGGTGGTGCTAGAGTGCAGCCAGGACGGGCCCAGCTTGGCTCCTGCAGCAAGAACTGCAGGCGGGAGCTTCAAGGCTCACCCAGGGCGTCTTAAGATTTAACTATTTAACAAGGCAGGTCCAGATAGAAGCCATTTTATTTTTGGATCCCACTTACCATATTATGGTAGGGTGTTACTGAATTTTAACAATTTGTGAGTTTAATGTTTTCAGCTGATTTCTGCTCCAAATTCAAAGGAAAGAGCGCAGGTTCTTGCAACACTATGGCAAGAGTGCATGAGGAGATTTCACTAAAAATATAAAACTAACTTTACAGCCTGAATATTAAACAAACAATAAATACAGATGGAGGGGAACAGATATAAACCCTCCCGGTCAGCTGTTCCGGATACTGGGTGTCGCGGGTCTCAGTGCCAGGTGGCTCTCAAATTCCGGCAGCTGCAGAAGAGCAGGCAGGCGAAGGCTTTTAGAAGTGTGGCCAAGTTTCCATTGATTTATTCTCTTTAGGAAGGGAAATGATAGTGCCTGCCTACCCCAGAGGCTACTGTGCTTTGGTTACATGTGGACAAAACGTTCAACACTTTTGAGAGACGTTTTATCCCAATGTAACTGTTCGTTGTATCTTGGCAAGTATTTGTTTTTGATCAGCTAGGAGGAGATGGGCCTGCAAGAGGAGCATCAAGAAGCAGCTTTTAGAGAAACCAAATGTCAGGAAACTGCTGGCAGCTGATCACGGGCCTGCCGAAGCCAAAGCCGCCTTCCCGCTCTTCGCAGTGTGTCCTCTACGAGGCCAGGGGCAGAGGAGCTGGTACACCTACAGCCTGTCACGATGGCTCTTGGACTCAGAATGCCTTCCTGCCCTTTTATCAGACTTCATCTGATTTCTTTTTTGGAGGTGGGGCCTTGCTATGTTGCTGAGGCTGGTCTTAAACTCCTGGCATCAAGCGATCCTCTCACCTCAGCCTCCCGAGTAGCGGGGATTCCAGCTGCGTGCTACAGTGCCTGGCTTCGTCTAGTTTTCATGGAGGTGGATTATGATACCAACTGAGATGTATCTAACTTTCCTGAATGTCTGCTGAAAAAAACCTGCCATTGAAAGAGCTTCATAAAGTCACAGAACATTTCAGGTGAAAGGGACCCTGGGAATGGCTACGTAGCCAGGCTCCAGGAAGACTCCGACTTGCACCCTGGGGCCTTTCCTTTCTCTCAGCCTCTCCGTTTCTCATGATTCACTCGTCTGACGTCGCATTTACCCAGCCTTGGGTAGGTCCGGTGTGCTCAGGTGATGTTTTTAAAAAACATGTCAGATGAACACATGGAGGATAATCACAGCGACCATGTACTGAGCAGAAACGATGGGCTGGGCACTGAGCTCAGTGTTTCATGTATTTTATCCTCAGTTTTTATGAAAAACAAGGAATTGAAGTATTGAGTGATTTCATAGATGGAGGAGCCTGAGATTCCCAGAGGTGAAGCAATTTGCTTAAAGGAATGCATGCATTCAACAAGTAGGTACTGAGCTGGTATCGTCTGCCAAGCTCTGCACGGTGCTGTGGACACGGGCAGTGAGCCAGTCAGCCCCTGTTCTTACGCCAGTCATGTAGAAGGTAGAAGAGTGAAGTGGGGACGGCATTGTTAGAGGCCCTGAACTGGCAACAACGGAGGCACTTTTGGTTTTTCTCAACACAGAATGTGATACGATTAGTTGAACGTTTCAAAACTTCCATCTGGTGGCCTGGTGGGGGATGCAGAGTAGAACGAGGTGAGCCAGTCAAAAGATGCCACAGTCCCAGCCACAGGCGGAAATAGGGATGGGGAAGAGAGAGAAAGATGGAAATGCATTTCCTGGTAACGACAGCTTAATTCATAAAATGACAATAATTCCAGGACTTGTAAGCACAGGAGAAGGACAAATAAGAGATAAATTTTGGGGCCGGGCGCAGTGGCTCACACCTGTAATCCCAGCTCTTTGGGAGGCCGAAGCAGGTGGATCAAGAGTCAGGAGATCGAGACCATCCTGACTAACATGGTGAAACCCCGTCTCTACTAAAATACAACAAATTAGCCGGGCGTGGTAGCAGGTGCCTGTAGTCCCAGCTACTTGGGAGGCTGAGGCAGGAGAATGGCGTGAACCTGGGAGGTGGAGCTTGCAGTGAGCTGAGATCGCGCCACTACACTCCAGCCTGGGCGACAGAGCAAGACTCTATCTCAAAAAAAAAAAAGATACATTTTGGTCAGGGGCCTTTGCGCGTGTCACAGATCACATTACTTACGTGGCTGTGTGCTGAGCTGACCTGCCCAATGCTAAACGCATCACTCAACGCCACTCAATAGGCATTGCAGGGTTAGGCGGGCGGACCCAGCCAGCCAGGCTGCAATCCTTGTCATATTAATATGAAAGGCAATTGAGAGACTTTGGCCCAAAACCCCCCCAAAACCTTTCCGGCCGGCAAGCACCTGCAGAGGGCCTTCCCTCCCCTGCCTCCACAAGCAAGGCCCTCACAGCAGCTCTGTCCTGCATTTTGGGGCACGGCTGACCCAGCTGCACTGTGTGGAGGGGCTGGGATTTGAACTCTGCTTTCAGTGGCTCCCGGGAGCTCTGTCCTGTGGGCTCAGCAGCACTGCACTTCCGGCCAGTCCCGCTCAGCCCTTCATCTCCCTGGAGCAGAGAGCAGCAGCTGCAGAGGCTCAGCTTGGCAGGCTCGGTCTCTCGGGCCTTTGTCCAGCTCCTTTTTTCTGCCTGAAACTTTGCAGCTGTACCAAAATAACTGAAAACGGTCACTGTTGCCCCTTTATTTTTGTAAGAGCTCCTCCCCTCTCCCCTTTCCCCTGCAAAGAACTGGATGACAGCTTTAAACTCTTGTGGACAGAGGATGTTCTGTTACTATTGAAGCAAAAGTCGTCCACTAAGCAGTTTGATGGGAATCCATGTGTCTAATTAGATGCCGCGGATCCAGTATTCCTGCTGCTCCCTGAGTGGCCAACTGGGCTTCCAAGAAAGTGCCCAAGAGGAGGGTTTACCGCAGCGTCGAATCCCGAATCCCGAGCACAATCGCAGCTATTTATCAGGAGCCACGGGAGGGTTCAGATCTTTGGGGGAAGGGATAGGTGAAGGCCTGTGGGACGGGGAACCAGCAGAGTTGGGTCAGAGGCTGTCTCTGCTCCCAGCGCGCTGTGTGGCTCCGAGCAAGCCACATGAGCTCTCTGAGCTTCAGCGCTCTCCTTTGTAAATGGAGGGGTTTGGGCCAAAGTCTTGCAATTGCCTTTCATGTTAATGTTTAATTGTTTTTCAAGGAAGAATTTCTATTTCCTCCACTGACCTAGAGCATTTAAAAAAAAAAAAAAAAAGAGCAGTTCCCTTCTTGTTGGCTAATTCTCGCTTTCTATTTTTAATCCCTAACTCCTGTACTTAATCCCTAATTCCCACTTTCTGTTTTTAATCCCTAACTCCTGTACTTAATCCCTAATTCCCACTTTGTTTTTAATCCCTAACTCCTATGTTTAATCCCTATTTCCCGCCTTCTATTTTTAATTCCTAACTCCTGTATTTAATCCCTAATTCCCAGTTTCTGTTTTTAATCGCTGACTCTCAAGGGCTGATGTGAGGCAGTCCCACCTTCCAGGCGCTCCAAGAAAGGCAGAGGTCAACGGGGCGCAGCACTGAGGCACCAACACATTCCCTCTCCCCATTCCGTGCTACAGCTGCTTCCTCTGACAGCATTTCAGCAGGGTGGCTGCCCTTTCAGCTCTCGCCTTATTTAGGGAGGGAAGGGAGGGTAGTGGAAAAACATCAGTACCAACTGGCCTGCTTCTGTGACTCAAATCTGACCAAGTTCAGGGAGCTTGGAATGCACCAGGCTCCTCGGTCACGGGTTCCCTTATGGTGATGGCCTTCCCTCCTAACTCAACCCCATAGGCAGCTGTTTCAACAGGACCCCTCCGCAAGACTCCTTCAAGCACATGAGGCCTTCACTTCTGTCTGCCCAGACAACTTCGTTGTATCCCCCAGAAATCGGTATCATGAACTTCCTGGATCACACTGTGAAAGCTGCTGAGGAGTGCAGACTTTGCCCATCTTTCCCTCAAGACAGTGCACGCCGCAGCGCCTCTCATCTGCCCCTGCAATCCATCCCTCCTCCTGATCACCATGGCCCACCCTCTGTACTATCCTCGTAGCATGAGCTCACACCGCTGGGACGTGAGATCTGTTGAATGCATTTATCTTTGTGTATATAGCCCCATTTAGGCGCTGTGGGGCAGGAACTGAACGAGGCATCTTTTGGCATCTCAAAATAAAACCCAGCACGTTGGACATAACGGGTGCTCGATAAGGGGCGGGGGTGACTAGAATGACTATTCAAATAGAAGGAATGATGGGCTCACACTGCGGGGAGCTGAGTGAGCCGCAACAGTACACAAGCAAAATGACAGCACATTCCTAATTCTTCAAAAACGTAGCTCATCAAGTTTACCTCCTAGGAAGAGCTGCACGGTTCTTCTGAACCTGACAGTCTAGAAAGCATTCTGGATGGAAACTCTCACCCATGTCTTCATGGAGACCACCCCACAATGCTGGCTCCCCCCGGCCTGCTGAGGTTCCTATGATCCTCTCATGGCCTCTTGGGCTTCCCTCCTATCGCCGACCACAGCCAGTTATTACACACATGTTTCTGTGATAACTGGTCTCGTACTTATCTTTTGCTATCAGACTGGAAGCCATGGGGGGCCAGGGCTGTTGTGGTCACCAAAAGGCAGCTGCTCAAATCTTACTTATTGGATGAAAGACTGACCGGGGAGACGGTCAGTGTGTTAGACTGGATTTGAAACTTCGGTTTGAGAAATGTAATTGGTATGGTTCGGATATTTCTCCCCTCCAAATCTCATGTTGAAATGTGATCCCAGTGTGGGGGGCCGGCCTGGTGGGAGGTGCTTGGGCCACGGCAGCGGATCCTGCATGAATGGCTTGCTGCCTTCCCTGTAGTAATGAGGGAGTTCTCAAACCAGTAGTTCCTGCGAGATCTGATGGTTTAAAGGACTCTGGCACCTGCTCCTCTCTCTCCTGCCATGTGACACACCAGTGTCGCCTCTGCCCCTGCCATGAGTAAAAGCTTCCTGAGGCCTCATTGCAAGCTGTGCAGACACTGGCACCATACTTGTACAGCCTGCAGAACCATGAGCCGGATAAACCTCTCTCTTTATAAATTACCCAGCCTCAGGCATTCCTTTGGCAGCAACAGGAAAGTGACTAACACGGTGATGTCATAAGGAAGCTTAGTTTTATCACTTTGCCCAAGGGAAAGGACTGGCCTTAGTTCTGTAAAGGTTTTCCCATAATCCTTTGTTTACCAGCAGCCCCTGCGTATGTTGTCCTTTAAAAACACTTCCAGGGGATTTGGGGGAACTTCAGAGGATCAAAGGGAAATATTTGTTTTTCTTGAAAGAACCTTAGAGATCATCTCAAACGCCTACAAAGTCTTGTATGAATAAGAGGTAAAAATGCAAACATTTAATACATTGAATACATTGAAATTTGAATGATTTCAAGTCCAGTGCAAAAGAGCTCCAATTTATGAGCCTTGGAGGAACTGGGTACCGACACTGCAGGAGAAAAGGCAACCCGCTTGGGTGCACACTGCTCGTCTCCGGGAAGCACAGTCTTACCGCACGTGGGAACGTCTTCCTCAGCCGAGGAGGTCTGCTCGTCTGTGGATGGCTTCTTCTTTCCCAGACTGATGATCTTGGTGATTTTTTTCCCTGTGACTTTCGACACAGTGCCCTTGGCCTCGGATTTGGAACTTTTCTTCCTCTTCACTGTCGAGAATAACAACAGCAAAAAAGCATGTTTTAATTGTAGATATTAATTGAAAAAATAAAACATAAATCACAACCCATTTCTTCTTTCCCTGGGCATTTTTTTCTTGTTTTAAAGACAGGGTCTCACTCTGTCCCTTGGCTGGAGTGCTGTGTTGTGATCACAGCTCATTGCAGCCTTGAGCTCCTGGGCACAGCTGATCCTCCCATCTTGGCCTCCGGAGTAGCTGGGACCACAGGTGAGTGCCACTACGCCTGGTTAATTTTTGTACTTTTTGTAGAAATGAGGTTTCACCATGTTGCCCAGTCTGGTCTCAAACTCCCGGGCTCAAGTGATCCACCCACCTTGGCCTCCCCAAGTGCTGGGATTATAGGTGTGAGCCACTGCGCTTAGCCTTTCCCTCGACTTGTACTTAACGAGCACTTGCCGTGTGCTGGCTGTCGGTCTAGATGCTGAGATTCCAGCAGAACACAGGGCTGCTGGTAAGAAGCTTGTAACAAAGACCACATGGAGATCTAAGATAGGGTTATGTGGAAAAGCAGCTGGGCGGGCAGAGAAAGCCTGTCCAGGGGTTGACTTAAATTAATAACTAGCCATGCACATCTCAGAGAGAAGAACCGTCCAGGAAAGAAAAACATCATTGACGCAAAAGCCAGCCCCAAGTGTCTGAGGAACAGAAGGCAGCTAGAGCAGCTCCAGCCCGGCTGGCAAGGGGAGGCCCAGGAAGGGAAGGGGATTGGCTCTTTTTCAGGAGCCCCTCGTCCATCTGTGAGACACTCACTCGGCTCGGCACCGTCCAGAGCTCTCAGACCAGGGGCCTGCCTTCTAGCCCCTCATGTTCGGTTTAGCCAGGACAGTGTTAAATTGGAGTTAATTGCTGATACATAAAACTCATACACATTCTGCATAAAATTGATGCCTGGCTTCCTTTGAAAGATGGAAAGATCTAGCAACTCTGAACTTGCATGTGGGCAAGCAACAGCAGCAGGACCACAGAAGCAGTCTCCACGCAGATGGGCCAGCAAGGGACAACACGGGGCAGTTCTCATCACTCCCCACCGTCTCCCACCACGGAGGTCCAGGGTCAGCTGCCAGCTGGCATCCTTTGTCTGCCCCATCCCATCACTGGCACCTCTCTCCACTGCCAAGGGCTCTGTCCGTGACCTCTGACAGAATTACATGGGCAGGGATCAGACAAGAAATCAGAAGGTGCATGTGAGACAGCACCAGAACCGAGTGACAAGACTCTTTGGCCAGAGAGCAACTGTCGGAGAAGGTGAGCTGTCTGCCCGTCTCATCTGAGGGCCATTATGTGCACGGCACTGGAGCTGAGGGGAGGCCAGTGAGACACTTGGGACGCAGCTGCACTGCGGGGCTCACTGGAGCTGAGGGGACAGAGAGACCCTCAGTGTCACGGGCAAAACCCCAGCGCCCAGACCCTTTCCCCTTCATCTCCAACATGAGTCCCTCAACCTGCTGTCTGCAACCCTTTGGAGATCACAAACCCTTTCAGAAGGTGATGAGTCAAGGACTCCTTCCCACCCTCCTACCCCAGGGACAAATGAACCCACACACATCCCGCGGGAGAAACGCAGAGGAAGAGCGGCCAGGGACACAAGACAACACACCTTGGCCTAACTCCTAAACCCTTCCTCTAAAAACACACACACTCACACAGGCAGTCCCCTCATCCTTCCCAACCTCTGCCTCTCTCTGCTGGGGAACGGGCAGTGGTCCTCCTTCCACCTCCACCCTGCTGCCCCCACCACAGCCAAACACATGAGGGCGGCAGAACATACCCCTGTGTCTCCTGCCCCGGGCCTTGCCCTCCCATGCTCCACCCTCCCGCTTAGGTCCTGGTCCTATAGCGTTAGTGTCCCTCTAAGAAGAGACTGCACGGGCACAGAAGCAAGGCTGTGTTTGAGAAGACAGCCCTCACCAGGCACCAACCCTGGCGACACCTGGGCCTTGGACGTGCAGCCTCCAGGACTATCTGAATGCATGTTGTTTCAGCCACCCCGTCTGTGGTATTCTGTGATGGCAGCCCAAACTGACTAACACCACAGTCCCAGCATTTCTGTGTTATTTTAAACAAATCAGACTTAGGCCTCATGCGTATTAGAAACAAAGAACCCAGGAATGCCACGCCCACCCCTCCTTCCACTCTCCCAACATGTACACACCCTGTTTTAAAATAAAGCGTTGAGACTCGCTTTCGATCCCTGAGTCTGAGGACGCAGCACTTCCCAGCTACCATCAGACAGGGAGCGTGCGGCTGGGACAGCTGTTATCACTTCAGTGTCACTTCAACCAAACCAAGAGCCACAGCAACAGTGGTCGGCCCCTCCCAGCTGTTTCTGAAGACCCAGAAGACAATGTTTCACCACAGCCCCATTCCCGTGAGCTTCACAAAGAATAACCTGCTGCCAGGACAGCCCGAGTGCCCGGGGCACCCTGAGCAAGGCTGGAGGAACAAGAGGCATCCCCCCCAGACAATGCAGGCCCCCCACAATGCGCCCCCCAGACAATGCGGCCCCCACAGACAATGCGGCCCCCACAGACAATGTAGCCCCCCCCGACAATGCCCCACCCCCCCACAATGCAGCCCCCCCACAATGCGGCCCACCGTGGCGAGCTGGGGTGTCAGACGAACGCCCAACTCGACCGACAAAGTGCTTGTTCGACTCCGACTACAAAGAAATGAGATTATAATTAAAACTGGGAATTCCTTGAATACTCCCTGATTCGTTTTTTACTAAGACAGATGTACGGTAATCCTGGGGAGAAAAAGCCCAAGTACATGGGAACGTGAGGAGAAAACCGTCAAGAACAACTTGTTGCTGCGAATCAAACAAAAGGCAGAGATGAGCAGAGATCACAGAACCGGGGAGAAAACCTCAGCACGCCGAACGCTCACCCTCTGCCGCCAGACAGTAGAAGAGCTGGAATGTCCGGCACACACTGGCCGTTGAGGTGGGCACACTGGCACAGGCCACTGGAGCAAGGCTAACGCGGGGCACTCTCTACAACCACAGCTATCATAAACCCAGAGAGTCTCCCAGTAACCTATGGAAATAGGAATTCAGGCGCTTTTTATTATTATTATTTAGGCTACCGGGAGGAATAGGGGCATGAGAATTAATACCATCAGACTTTGTATTCAGTGACTTCTATCAACAGACACATTCACAAATGATCACGTCTTACAGATGTGAAGTGGGGCTGAGAAGCCTCACAGCTCCCAGACAGAAGGTCCCAGGACCTCCTGAGCCCGCACTCCTCACACCTGCTGCAGGACCAACCGTACTGTGTCGGTTTATTAGACAGGAGGGATTCCGCCCTGAGGGAAGAAAAAGGCATTCCAGAGTCACTCCCTGTGGCTTTGACCGCATGGAGCCTGGACTGTCTCTTTCTTCATCTGAGATTCTAACACTAAGAAAAACCTGTATGAGTTCAGGATTTTCTCTATGCAGCCCGCAGAGAAATGTGCCTGAGTTACCACATAGCTGGGATAAAGGAGCTTAACTGAAATCTCTCAGTTGCAAATTGGTTAAGAGTGAGAGGCAAGGACAAAAGCTAAGAGAGAAGGTTAGAATGTACTTCAGCCTTAACTTTCTCCAGTAACTACTGAGTGTCTGTATCTGCAAAGCACCATGCCAGACAAAAAGAAAATGTGTAAACCAAGGTCACCACCATTTAATTCCAAAGTATAGAAGGTTGTTCTTGTTAAGAGGAAACAGGAGAATTTTAAATATAGATATACTCGCTCAAAAGTGCATCCAGACACACATATTATTCTGTAGAACCTAATAGGCGCATTGGGAGAAGAAATAGCAAACCAGAAAAGGAACCAACCAAACCAACGTCTGCTGCCCCTCAGCTTCTAAGCAGGAACATTGAGATTGTATGTTATTTTATTTCAGGGCAAAACTTAAAGATAGCATTCCTGGTTTTGATTACACATAATGTGTGCCCTGTGGAAGACATTGATAATACTTTCCACTGAATAACTTCCGATGGACAGAACCAAAATTACACTCAGATAGGACAGACTCAAAAAACCACATATGGAAAAAGTGGGTATCATGACCTCTGAGAGTGAACTTTGTAATGTCATAACCGTCCCGATTCTCTGAGCCCCGAGACTCTCAGTGGGCTGGATTGCTACTTGGTTTAAGGTGACTTCACCACAGACAGGAAAGACTTGGCTCCCTCCAGAAGTGGGCAGATGGGCTCGGGTGGTCGGATTACTCAGCTGAGCAGCCAAGGTCACAGGTTCAATGAGCACACAGGCAGTCTGGCTTTGCAGAGGGAGCTCTCCGTCCCCACCACAAGTCCTGCCCTTCATCTCAGTCCACACACTGCTACGGAAATTAAAGTCCAGCCACAGATTGGGGGAATATATGTACAAAACACATCTGATAAAGGACTTATATTCAGAAAATACAATGAACTCTCAAAACTCAATAAGCACGAATAATCCAATAAAAATATGAGCAAAAGATCCAACAAGACATTTCACCAAAGAAGATACCTTGATGGCACATAAGCATATTAAAAAATGTTCAACACTGTTAGTTATTAGGGAAATGCAAATTAAAACACAACTGCACACACTACACCCCTATTAAAATGGCCCAAATAGAAAGAACAAAACAAAAGTGACAATACCGAGGCTGGAGAGAAGGCTATGACCAAACAATCCACTCCTAGGTATTTACCCAAGGGAAATGAAAACATATGTCCACGCAAACATACGTCCATATGTCTCTGAATGCACAGAACAGATTTTTTTAAACAATCGCCCCAAAGTGAAAATAGCTCAAATGTTCTTCAAGCGGTGAATGGGCTGACTGTGGTCCATCCACACAACACAATGCCGCCAGCAGCAGCAAAGAACCAACGACGGACACCAGCCACAAACACGGACGACTCTCCAACGCAGCTGAGTGAAAGAAACCACACTCAGAAGTCTGCAAACGAGATGCTTCCAACGTTACGGCTTTCTGGTAAAGGACAAGAAACGGAGCAGCAGCTGCCAGGGCCTGGGGCAGAGGCAGAGGCAGAGGCAGACGGGAGAGAAAGAGCAGAGGGAACATGGTGGGGGCTGGAGGGTTAGAGCCATGCTCTAATTCCCATCTGCAGATCTTGATTGTGGTGATGGTTACGTGCCTGCCAGCATTCATCAAAACTCACCAACAGTATGCCAAACAGGGTGAATTTTACGGCATTTAATTTCTATCTCTAGAAAGATCGAGGCTTCGTTATTTGCACATCCACGTTCATGGCAGCATTATTCACACTAGCCAAAAGGTGGAAGCCGCCCACGTGTTCATCGACAGATAAATGGGAAAACAAAATGTGGTCCATCCATCCAATGGAATATTATGCAGCCTTAAAAAGGAAAGAAATTCTGACACAAGTCACATTACAGATGAACCTTGAGCACATGGAACTAAGTGGAATAAGCACTTACAGAAGGACATGGCCTGTAGGACTCCACTTCGATGAGGTCCCTAGAGGAGTCAGATTCATGAGACGGGAAGCAGAATGGGGGTGCCAGGGGTTGGGGAGGAGGGAACGGGGAGTCAGTGTTTAAAGGGGACAGAGCTTCACTCTCGCAAGATGAAAAGAGTTCTGGAGACTGACAGCAGTGATGACAGTACAACGTAAATGTACTTAACGCACTGAACTGTATGCTGTGACACGGTTAATACGGTGTATTTTATATTATGTATATTTTTATATTATGTACTTTTTAAAAATGTTTCAAATGAAGGCAAAATAAAGACATTTTCAAAAAATCTTTTTTAAGAATCTCAGAAATCTGCAGGTCTGGCCTCCTCATTTTAAAGATGGGGAAACTGAGGCTCATCAAGAGGGAATACTTGCTCAAGATCATGGGGCTAAGCAAAGGCAGAGCTTGAATGAGAAAGTGGGTTTCTTGCCTCCTTATCCAAAGTTCTTTTCACTGGACACCAGGTCCCTAAGCAACACACCAGCGGTTCACCAATGCAAATTTGTCTCAGTGATAGATCGAGTGAAGAAACAACCAGCTGGGCGTCATAAGTTCGAAACATGCAGGGCAGAAAAAGACAACAGATGGCAACCTCGGCCAAGGTCTGGCAGGATGGAAAAGGAAGACCTGCAGGGTTGATGTTAACCAAAGGGTTTTCCAGGCACTCCCATCGGTATCCTCAGCAATGGTGATGATATCTACACACCTGAATCACCCAGCACATTTTTCATACAATCAGACTTTACAGATCTGGCTGTGGGTTTTTTTTAAGTGTATGTATCTTTGGCACAAGCGGAACTCACCTTGCTCCTTTCCATTACATGTGCTAATTCCATTTTCCACCACGCCCTCCCCATCCGAGCTGGGTCTCTCTGAAGACAGTTTCTGTAAGGAGAAAAAGGATTAAGTTATTCTTACAGTGGTCACTTGGACCAAGTGATGTGTGACGGATCAACCAAAAGTTATCTTGAAAGTGAAAGAAAACATGGGCCGAATTCATAGCAATCCAGAAGTAGTCAGAGCTTAACTATAACAAAGACTGGCTAGTTAGGTGGCTACAGCCGCTTTAAAAACATCCAGAGTGGGGAGGGAGGGTCGGGGGGAACCTCACTGAGGCTATAATTATACTAACCTATATATATACTGTCTCATGCCTATTTCATTCAAATCACTTCTTGTAAATGATTTTGAAAAAATATTATGATTCCAAAAATATTTCCCTCACCAAGCCATATTATCCTTGCAGAGGGAAATATTCCATAGTCCATTTAATTTCTTCCTGTCATTCACCAATAATTAATTGGGTGAGTGTCTAGTACGTGCTTGTAACAAATACACTCAGAATGTACACAGAGTGAAGGCAAAGTTACTATCAAAACCCTTGGAGGGGGATGGGGTACTGTCACTATCTCAGTCCTAACCTCTGGCTTTAATGAGCGTGATTAGGATTCCACGTTAGTGTCTGAATGAGGTAGAGTGTTTACAGCTAGACCCCTTCCACTGCCACCCAAGAACCTGTGGGGTCACAGTGGAGGGAGTGGCGTCCAAACACTGTCCTCATATCCTGTGCCTTCCACCAGGGCCTGGGAGACTGGGACACATTTGAGATGTGTGGGCAGTTCCCAGGCACAAAGGAACACAGGTGTTCAACCTGGAATTCGAGGGGCAATCCCCTAAGAGCTGCAATGAAGGAATGAGTGCCACTTAGTGGGAAGCTGAGTTCCAGGGATACAATGACCTAGAGCTGGTACCGCCCTGGCTCTCACACCAGGAACAGCCCGGGGAATCCAGGGCAACAGGTCCAGCCGAGTGCTCACGGTACTGCCTTAAAAACCAACATAAGTAAAGCGGAATTGCCAATTCTGGTGTGAGTGCGTGGATGAGGAACTTGGATGCAGTCTGATGGGAAATGAAATCGCATCAACCTTTTGGGAAAGCAATTTGATTTTCAATATGAATCAAAATCTTAAAAAAGAAAAAGAGGTCTATCCTTTGGTCTAGTAATTCAGCTTCCAGAAATCTATTCTCAGGTAACAGGCAAAGAATCAGCAAAAATTATGCAAAATACGTCAAGTACTATTTTATTTTAGATGGCCTAAAAAAGGGCAAAACGGGACAGGTGCGGTGGCTCACGCCTGTAATCCCAGCACTTTGGGAGGCCGAGGTGGGTGGATCATGAGGTCAGGAACTCGAGACCAGCCTGACAAACACGGTGAAACCCCATCTCTACTAAAAATATAAAAATTAGCTGGGCTTGGTGGTGTGTGCCTGTAATCCCAGCTACTCAGGAGGCTGAGAGAGGAGAATCGCTTGAACCCAGGAGGTGGAGGTTGCAGTGATCCAGGATCGCACCATTGCACTCCAGCCTGGGCAACAAGAGCAAAACTCCATTTCACAAAATAAAAAAAAAAAAGGACAAAACAAGTACTGGGGGGCAGTTACCTAAGTGATAGTGGAGTCATACAAATTTGACATTAAAGCTAATGATAATGTGAAAGTGTAAAAACGCTTGTGGCTTAAGAGTTGTTAAAAACCTGGAAATTTGCTAATAATATAAAGGTTCAGTGAAAAAAAAGCAGTATAAGAAATTTTATGCATAAGCTTATCCAAGCCGTAAGAGAAACCCTTGAACTCAGGAAAGAGTGTTTAATATATCAGTAGTGTTAAGAGGAGCTGCATCCTCTATGTGCAGTTGTAATGAGTGACTTTTTTCATCCCGTTTATGTTTCTATGAGCTTTCTGAATTTTCTAAAGTGAGCAGATACTGGTTTTATAGTCAGGGAAAAAAACAGCCTGTTCCATTACGGTGTGAGGATGAGGACTGTGATGTTTAATTTTATGTGTCAATGTGGGAGGCATTTGGGGATTAGATTAACGTTTAAATTAGGGAGCTCTGAGGAAGCAGCCTGTCCTCTGTCATGTGGGTGGGCCTCATCCAATCAGTTGGGGCCCTCGATGGAACAAAAACACTGTCCTCCCTGAGCCAGTGAAATCTCCCTAAATTCCTGCGGACGCCTTCACACTTCACCTGCACCATCGGCTCCCCTGGGTCTCCACCTGCGGGCCACACTGCAGGTTTCCGACTTGCAGCCTCCATCATTACGGGAACCAATGCCTTCTAAGAAATATGCTTCTACGTACATACATCCCATTAATTCTGTTCCTCTGGAGAGTCCTGACTCATATGAGGACAGGCAAGAAGGGATCTGTCTCTTCACTGGCAGGAGGCTAGAGGGAGGGCTCAGAAAGCCCCGGGAACACAAGCTGCCAGCAGAAGGTCTCATGGCAGGAAGTTAGGGTTCTCCAAGGAAACAATATCAGTTAGATTCAGACAAACAAAGTGCAAGCAGAGCAGGGCCTGTGGCGTAACGGTGATGGGCTCCATACATTTCTGGCAAAAAGAGGTGTACAGATGACAGGCCATCCCCGCCCACTGCGGTGCTCCTCTGCCTTCCAACAAGCAACAAGAGTGCAAAGCAAAGGGAGATGGAGACACATCCTGGTCTGCTGGGAAGAGACCTTTGTGAGGGTACATTTATGAAGCACCTGCTGTATTCCAGAAGTAGACAGGCATGCCTTCAGACTTCAGCTCTGCCATTTACTAGCTATGCGACTTTGAACAAGGCCCTCACGCCTTTAAATCCGTTTTTTCACCTGTAGCTGCGAATAACAATACTAACTACACAGTCTGTAAAATGACTAATTCAAGCTTACACAAAGCAGGCAGTTAAGAAGACGGGAAGCACAATTGCATTTTTTCTTTCTTTCTTTCTTTTCTAAGTGGAAGTGCTGAAATTCTCAGAGAATGTTATCAAACTCTGAAGGAGACCCCAATCCACTGCGAGGTCACTGTCCCCACCCAGCAAGAGCAACGCCCTTACCTTCTCCAGTTCCGCCTTGTGCACCGGGGAGCTCGGTGGAGGAGGACACTCTGAATCCGCGGGGCCACTACAACCACTATAGGCTTCTTTGATCACCTATAAAAAGCAGAGACACTTTGTGAGTATGACCGAGGGCAGAGACACCTAAAAGCTTGAACTGTGAGTTGTACAGACAGAGCCACAGGGCACGGTAGGGAAATTGATGGACTCAAAGCACCCGGCTCTGAGTTCCAAGATGTCAGGTACGCATTCGTTCAGTTACCCACGCATTCATTCACCCAAAGTCTATCAACGCTGGCACCGACACAGGGTGTGGAACATGCATCTACGTTTCCTGCTGGTGTGGAGTTTCATTCCATGTAATTTATTTATCACCATGAAAAATAAGGGTCACCAAAAGAATGACAGCAACATGAGGCAGCAGTAAGTGCCACCAAGAATACAAGATGGTGGGTGGTTACTTTAGATCAAGAGACCGGGGGGCCTTATGCAATGACGCTGAAGGGTCCAGCCTGTGAACAAGCGGCGGGGAAGGGCTCTGGGCAGCAGGAACAGCTGGTGAAAAAGCCCTGTGGTGGATGTGAAGAGTTTGGGAATAACCCAGAGTGCAAACTGGCAGGAGGAGAGAGAGAGAACGTGGTAGGAGATGAGGCAGGAGGCCAGTAGGAGCCTTCAGGCCCAGGAGAAGACAGGCCCTGGGAGCATTTCAAGGAAAGGAGGGACCGGATTCAAGAGCACTGACTAGGACCTGCCGCCTGGGATTCATCCTGGCTTTAACCTTGGACAAATCAATTAACTGCTCTGTGCTTCAGCTTCCTCATCTGAAAAGTGCAGGTGCAACAGTGCCTACCTTCTGAAGGTTAAATGCGCCAAGACGGGGCCTAAAGCATAACCAGCACTCAATTGTTAAAAGGCTGTAGAAAGCACTCTAGTTGCTGTGAGAAGAAATAATTATACAGGAACAACAACAAAAAAGCATAGAGAAATCCGTGAGAGGCCGTTGCTGTAGCTGTGCAGGCGGCAGCAGGGGCTGGAGTGACCACAGTGAAGACGGAAGGAAGGAAAGGGAGTCAGGAGGTACCCGAGGGAGAATCGCCAGGCCCAGCTGGATCGGACACGGGGCTTGAAGGAAAGAGCTGACTCCAAGGTGACTCCTGGATTCTTAGCAACCGGGTGGTACTATTTACTCAGAGGAAGACTGGACAGAGAAATAGGCTGGGTGGAAAGAAGCCAGTTTGAAGTCAAACTTCTAGTCAGGGCTAGAAAACTGGGAGCCACTGGCAAAAAGATGATGCTCACAGCCTTGGACTGGATGAGTTTACTAGGGAAGATAGCAAGACAGAGAAGAACAGAGATCAGGAAGAAGGACCCGGAGCCCGTCGGCGTTAAGGAGTAGAGTTAAAGGAGAGAAGCTGGTAAAAGATGCTGAGCTGGAAGGCATGGAAAAGCAGGCAGAAAACCAGGAGCGCACAGTCTCCAAGGAGAGGGAGAAGACGGCTCCATGGAGGGAGATGAGCCCAGAGAGACAGAGAGAGAGACAGACAGACAGACAGACAGAGACAGCTGTGACTCCCTAAGGGAAGCAGAGAGACTGGGAGAGACTGGGAGTGGGGAACCGGGTGGAGGAGGAGATGAGCAAAGGAAGGCGTTTCCAAAGTGTTCCTTCTCCTGCTGAAGGATGCTTCCATTTTAACAAAAGGCAGAGTGAGGATGTGGAGGGAAGAGAGAGAAGGCAGAGAGGCCAGCACAGCCTGTCTGAGAGAATCCACTTTCTCAGTAAGACTATCTGTTACCAGGCCAGGCGCACACTGGCTCATGCCTGTAATCCCAACACTTTGGGAGACTGAGGTGGGCGGATCACCTGAGGTCGGGAGTTTGAGACCAGTCTGACCAACATGGAGAAGCCCTGTCTCTACCAAAAATACAAAATTAGCCAGGTGTGGTAGTGCAAGCCTGTAATCTCAGCAACTCAGGAGGCTGAGGCAGGAGAATCGCTTGAACCCGAGAGGCGGAGGTTGTGGTGAGCCAAGATCGCACCATTGCACTGCAGCCTGGGCGACAAGAGCGAAACGCCATCTCCAAAAATATATATATATATCTGTTATCAGTTGTGTGGCCTTGGGGAAAAGTATTTAATCTCTCGGAGCTTCAGTTTCCTCCCTAGCAAGGGAATGAGTGTCAAGATTACCTGTCTTGCAGGACTATGGTTCAACTGAGACAGTGAGATCTGCTATGGAAGAAGTCTAAGCCAGCATGTGGCATGTGCACGTTCAAACCATGAAAGCAACACTGTTATTACTGTGAGCGTTTTGATGACCTACGATAAGAGCTCAGAAAATGATTCTGGACTAGACTTTCAGACGCAGGGATGGTGAGCCTGCAGTTCAGAATTCCATGCACGAGGGCTTTCCCAGCTGTCCCCTGCGTACAGTCACTACGTGTTTCTCCAACTCCTACTGAGCTCCTCAGCGTCCAGGCCCACTGTGGTCAGGGGGGACGTGCAGCAAATCAGACAGACAAGGTTCCAGCGCTTGCGAAACTTACATTCTTAAAACTGAAAAGTTAGCAGGCAGATTTTTCAAAATGTCTTCTATTCTTTCTAGGACTAAGCTGCAATTTCGGTTAAACCAAAGCTGCTTCTGGGCAAAGAAGAAACACCAAAGTCCCAGATATGTGTGTAGTCATTTTGCAATTGGGCCCCCACAGACAGATCCAAATTCCCTCAGCTTGTGCTGGCGCTGGGATGAAATCCAAGGCCTGACAAGAGACCAGGATAGTGTTTCCAGCCATTTTGCTCCTCAGCGGTTTTATACAACAGAGTGATGTCCACAGTTGAGACTACAAAAGAGAAAAAGAAATGAAAGAAGAAACCCAGAGAGCTCGCTGTCACGTCTCCTCTCTGCTAATGCCGAGGTGTGAAGCACTGAGCAAGCCTGAGCCTCGGTGCGGTGATCTGTGTGTCGGATCTCTCTTGTTTCTCTCGCTTTCATGCTGACTGCTTTTTTGGGCTTTACTCCCTCATCTACCCTAAGGTGATTATTAGGTCTCCAAATGACAAGGCAAATTTTTATTTGATTTGAGAACAAGACTTTTTCTTTTCCCTAGGGAAGGCAGGTTCATACAATGGAAAACTCCTAAGCTTCTGCGTCAAACCCACCTGGGTTCAAACCCCAGGTGGACCACTTGCTGTTTATGTGAAGCTGAGCAATTTATTCTCAGAGCTTTGCTTCCTTCCTCAATAACGCGCACAGAATAATACCTCAGGGGCTCACTGTGAAAACTAAACGTTAAAACAAATGTGAAGTATCCAGCCCAGCATCTCTCCCCTAACAGGGACTACGGAAACCTGAACTCTTCCCACGATTCTATTTAATAGTGTTAAATCAACGAAAATGTGCTTCAATTATACAAACGCACCTGAACTCGACATGTTCTTCATTTTACACTAAAAGGCTGTACCCTATAAAACATAACCTGCCAAAACCCATGATCTCTGGCAAATGTTTTTATTTAAAAAAAAAACGGTTGTCTTCTTTTTTTTTCAGGAGGGGAAGGATCTACAAACTTCTTTGGCAGCACTACTCCAATTATTCCCTGCAGCCTCTCGGGTGGGGCGGACAGGCTGGCTGTGTGAATGGTGTCTTCTGGAGGAGTTGTGCTTTTTTTAATACAGCTAAATAGAACTCATCTTTCAAGATTCAGCTGAGGTCTCAGGAAGCCTGCGCTGGCCCTTCTGTGTGGTCCATGAGGCACGGCTCCGGCTCCACACATGCCCACAGAGGTCTGTGTCTCCTACTAAGCTATGCTTGTGTTCATAGGAGGGGCTGGGCCTTGCTTTTGTCGCTGTTCCCAATGCCTCCTTCAAAATAGCAACCAAAAGTTTGATTAAAGGGAAAACAATGAGGGAATGAAGAAAGAAATTGGAATTAAGATTTCTATGAAGAAAAAAAAAAAAAAAGAAGGAAAGAAAAACAGAAGGAAAGAAACTTAGGCCATTACTAAAATAAGTAGCCTCATGACCAAGCTTCCCCAGTCCTTGGCACTGGCTTCTAAAATCCTCAAGAGGAAAAAGTACAGTGTTTTTTAAAGGCACGTAGATAAAAGCCATCTGGCACATATACACTTCCCCACTCAGCCCTACCCTAACACACACACCCTGGCTAAGCTCCTGGCAGACTCGCCTGGTCCCTGGAGTGTCCCCATCCCTCTCCTGCTCCCATCAGCTCCCACTTTCTAGCAGACAGACGAGGCTGCCTAGCATCCAAGCAACTCACATAATCGCCTTTCCAAGGAGCCTTTCCTGGTACACCCAACCATACTCTGAATGCTTAGAACTGGGGACACAGACAAACGATCCACATTTGCTCTCTAATCATTAATTTCTCTCCTAGCTAGAACTCACACTGCCCCGGGAAAATAACAGCATCTCCAGCCGCGCTTGGGAGGATCGCATTCAGCAACCCAGAGCAGGCCCAGGATCAACCTGGGCCCAGCAAGCGGGTCGCTCATGGCATCCCAGCTTCATGGGACTATCTTCCCCTAGGCATAATAACTATGTCCAAGGTACAAAAAAAGACATCGCTAAAAACATCCATCAGCATAAACCAGTCTTTATTCCCACGAATTTTTTTCAACCAGTTGGAGAGGGCAGGTTCTTTTCATGAAACTGTCTTTCTACTTTGGATCTCTGTTGATTGCCAAGTTACACCTGCAGAGTTAAGTCAGAAGTAACAAGCAAAGCACTGATCAATCCAATTCTTTGAACAGCTCTAAATGAGGTTTCTATTAATACATTTCAACTTGAAGAGTCATGTCCTATGAGAGGTTCAATGTGTATTTAAGAGAACTGGATCCAAATTCAGAATCGCAAATCCTCCAAAAAAACAAATTGTTATATATTTTGTGGTATTTTGTTTGCTTTTAACTTGAGCCCTCAACTCCAGAAACACAATCTCTGCACATTTTTTAAGGAAATCTGACCACTCCGTTTCTGGGAATATTGGCTCCTGTCTTCTGTTTGACCCCTACACAAAGGCTCATGTTTTCAGCATTTGTGTACACACACACACACACACACACACAGAAAGACTCAGTTA